GAGCTCGAGTTATTTGCTTGATTAGAGGATGTTTTCGGGCCAAGGACTTCGCCTCCTTGGCATTAATTAGATTTTCTTGCACAAACAACTCACTGTACTTATCCTCGCGTGGCTAATTATAAAAGTTTAACCGGACAGGGCCGAAAGTAACACTTTCAGTGGCCACTGTTGATTGATGCCGGAGCACTTGAAATTTTCCAATTTAAATGATGGGTTCTGCGGTGGAAAGTGCACTGGGAGCAGCTGCTCCCAGGCTTGGAAAATTGCCCGCCTGCTTGCAAAACTCGGCTAAAAGTTGCTATAGAAATAACGAAATGAAAAATATAAATACTTGCCCATTTATAAGAGACACTTGGAGCAGCAGCAGCAGCACTCAGAGTGCCGCTGGGAGAGCTTGGGCATTTAGACGCCATTTCCAGGGATTACCACTCTCTTATGCATCTTTAGTTGGGGCCAAAAGTTCCGCAAAACATTTCCCTTTGACTGCAACCATTTAGACAAAACTACCACCAACCCAAGCCCCGTCAAGACCTTGAACCAGTCGCACAATAAAAGTGAATGCCAAAACTGCCAAGGAGCAGAGTCCAGAGTCCAGCTGTGTGATATTTCGCAGCTTGTGCCGGCATAAAAGGAGCATAAACGGTTTTTATGACCCCTTTGCCCTTTTTAGAGAATGTAATCCGAATTAAGTACTGAGTACTGAGCCGGAGTTATGGTAAATTAGACTTATTTTTGGGTACAACAAAGAAGGGGAAAGCATATTTATCATAAACCATTCCCAAAGGAGCAACATTGTTGGTAAATATGAAATATATTTTTGAGGGAAAAAAGTAAAGATTTTATTGACACATTCACAGCCTTATTTTGGGTCATCTAATTTATATCTATTATTTTTGTATTCAAAACTCGTTACATATTTAAAACGAAATATTCCAAACAAAACAATCAATTGGAAAATGCTCTCCTCTTACCAAACACCAAGTAATATTAGCATTATGGGCATATAATTATGCATTGATTTGATAATAACAACACTAATATGTGTTGGTCATTGCCCATAAATCTTTAATGATTTCTGGTTCGACAAGTGCCTTGTGTCAACTCATTGAAGCAGACCAAAATCAATTAAATATCCATTATGCAAATAAATGTGCCGCATCCCTCCCTCATGCATATTTATGTGCCAGCAAGGGAAAACCGCAGGACTAACCAAAATAGAATTTTTTGGCAGCCACAATGCCCCAGAGTAAACAACGGACGGGACGAAGGATGGGGCACGGAAGAGCTTTGCCTCGTATTTCAGTGCTGTGATTGAGGATTTTCATATTTACTTGGGGCCGCAGCATGTACACATTTCGTGTGGGGGAAGCCGGTAAAGAGATGAAAATAAACTAACCCAAAAAATGGCAATGGTGAAACGGAATTAGAAGTCCATCTTGTATACCGCCAGAGGATGGTTAAGCCTAAAAACACTTCTCAATGGCACTCAGTGGATTTGTCAGCGTCAAAAATCTGTTGCATATTCGGCCCTTGAATTATGTAAGCTACACGAATTCAGTTTTTGGCCGTCACAGGAAGCGTTTTCATGTCACGGATTTTCCGTCGAATGACGGCACACACAAACAGCGAACATATACCGAAAGCCACAGACAGACAAACTTGAAAGCAGGACGGTTATTCATTACCGGAAATGCGTTGTTTGTGTGTGTGCGTGTGCGGTTGTGTCATCTCACCGGAAGTCCAGTAAAGTACGGGCCACTTCCGGAGCATGGAGTTCTTTGTTGTTCTAGAATGAAAGTCAATGAAGTACATTCTATCGATTAAGAATACTCTTTGTAATTTCTAAAGAAATCTATAGGGTTCTCAAAAATTAAGCAATTTTTTTATAATTTAACTTCGGGTATTCCATATAAGGCATATAAGCTACATGGTCCAAAAAGGAATCCCCTAGAGTACTCAACAAAAAGCTTCTAAAAACAGTTTATCCAAGTTTTTGTTGTAGGAAACAACAGTTTTCTTCTCAAACAAAAAATACCATCGAAGGAACATAGAGAACCAAAGCAAATGAAACAACTAGCACCGGAATGCAATTGTAAAACAATTCAATTTTATTGTCTTTTCTCCTTTGCCTTTCCTCTTCCCTTATACGTTTATTCAGACAATTTCAAATGGTCCAATTAAGGCCAGGTTTAAAACATTTTATGTATGCTGCCCATGCTGAAGGCCATGAAAGCGCACATAAAATTAATAAATGTTTTGGTAATTACGCGAGAGCACTTCATTATAATTTCATTTTTCGCCCACAGTGTCAATAAGAATTACGACATTTTGTTTACGTTGCCGCCAACAATTACAAATTCATAAGTGGTGGAAAATAAATTATAAAGAGCACAAAATGAACATAGTCCATTAATAATCCGATCGCAGAAAATAATGTTTGGCTATCAAAAAAGACAAGCTGTCCTTAAATATTAAAAATAAAAACGAAATACTTTTAAATTTCTTTTGTGTGAGATATAAAGATTTAAAGTAATTGTGTTTTCCTACATTGATTCATTTTCTTTAAAGGAATTTAATCACTTGTAAATACTGAAAACTTTTTAGCAAATGAGAAAAGCAAGGCAAACATCGTTTATTTGTTGCAATCAAATGAATTGCTAACAAATTTCTGGATATATAGCCTCTTCTAAATTTCTTAAGTAAATTAATAAATAATAGAATTTGTTCAAGGCTATTAAATATATTAAATTTGATAACTGCTCGAGGAAAATGCATGAAATCGGTTCATCTGCCTGGGTCAGGGGTTATGTCCAGTTGCAGTGGCAAGTGCAACAAAGTGTTCAATAAATTATGCTCTTGCCGTTGTTTGTGCCACAAAAGAAGTGGCTGCTGCAACGGCAACGGCAATCGATTTGTCTTAGCCGCTGCACACGTCCAACATGTCGTATGTGTAACAAGTGTAGCACATAAATTGCCAAGGTTGCGGGCACTGGCGATGGCTGCCGATGCGGGGCGTAGCGTGCAGCGTCTTGAGGCAGCCACAAAATAAATAAAATAAAAGTGAAAAGTGAAAAGTGCTGCCCGTAAAGTTTCGTGCACTTTTCGCAGATATGTTGGATTTGATTTATACGAAAACAAGGCAAGTTTGTGATACCATTTATAAAGTTGCCCAAAGCAATTTGTTTGTCTGCGGTAAATCATTTATTTACAACTCTAGGTTTTGTTTACAAATTCACAGTTGTTGTGCTGGGTGGCAAGAATGTAACTTGAATTATTGAATTTATAATTTACAAAGATGAAATTGAATGGAAAATAATCACAAATTGAGAACTCCTACAGCTTCAATCATGGCTTATGTTTATTCAAGCCATACTTTCATTTAAAAACTACTATATTTTCAGTCAATCAACAAAATGTAGCATCTATTATTCGCTATCCGTGCGCTTGCCTCCGGTCAAGAGTACTTAGCACCCTTCCACCTACGCTCCGAATCCGAGTCCCAATCCGTGTCTATATTTTTACCATTCACACTCGCACAAGTTTTAGCTCGCCAACATTTCCATTTGGGTCATTGGGGATTTACGGGGCCCAAAAACTTTTCATATGCTTTTGCCAAATAAAAATAAGGACGAAACTTTTTGAGTGGCAGCTTAAATTTTTGCAGATATTTCCGATTTGTTTGTCTGGTGAACCACTTTAAAATTTTGCCTGCATTAGCCAATGTTTGCTGTCTGGCGAGATAGTTTGCATTTAACATTGATTTAATCCACGGGGCAACGACTGCTTTCAGTATTTGCCCAAGGACTCCAAGTCCCGTATTATTTTGGCTCAGTTTAAGGTGGCTGCTCATTAAATTTAATTTAATTTTAGGCTCTTGCTAGGCCAAAGAACGCTAATTGATTCCGCTCTCAACTCAAACACATACATTTCTGAGGGCAAGGCTCAGAGGGAAATGTTCTTAAACGAATTTGCTATCTATTTGCAACATGACTGCGGGTAAAATAATGGAATTTCCGCTTCCTCCCACCATACCCACCAACGGGAAGTTTTCAGCCGGCACAAAAAGCTTGGCGAAATGCATTTCAGAGCCAGGCCCAAAAGTGTCGAAGATGCAGAAAGGCCACGGGGACTACATACAACATACTATATATATATTTATATATATATAGCGACAGTAAGTCAGCCAAAATTCCAAGACATCTTGACTTTGTGTGTGGCAGTGTGTGTTTCTGTGTGTTAGCTGCAAGTAATGGGGTTTTCAAGGCTTGAATTATGTCTGGGCCAGAGAATATTTGGCCAGTTGAAAACATTTTCAAAGAGATTAAAGCCAAAGGTTTATATGTTGAATTTAAATGGGATTTAGTTATGATTTCAAAGTAATTTTATTCAAGAAAACGATTTAATTTTTGCTTAACATACATTTCTTTTTACAATATATTATTTTGAAGTTCATTTGTTTCCTATTTTACCTTATGAAATCGGAAGAAATCTCTGATTAATTTCTTACTTGAAATATAAGTATAAGTCTGCATGGATTTAATCGAACGAAACCATCGATTTTAAGGATATATTCATAGAGTTTACCATACTAGATAACTCTTCAAGTTGTCCATAACTTGTTTACACAATCTCTGTTTAGATTTCTGAGCACGAAAATTATTTCTTTATTTTTTTTTTTTTGTATTTACATATAAAGTTCTCTGCCACTATTTAATTTCCTACTCGACTTTTGGTTTGGGACTTTACTTAGTTTGGGTGGAAACCCATGTAAAATGTATGTATAAAATGAAGGAAAGCTACTTTGGCATACTGAAGTTTGTATACCCTTGCTGTTTGCTATTGGATCAGGATTGAAATCGATTACATATTACTTTTGGCAAGCATTTTGACCTTTACAAACACCATGTGCACTGTAAGGACTTTAAATCGATCGGTTTTTGTATGAAATTTTTTTAGATCAAAGCTTCAGGAAATCCTAACAGAGCCAAAAGCTTTCTAAATAATTTGGAAAACTTGTCCATGTTACTTTTTATTATCTGCAAGATGATCCTTAAATTCTAAAATAAATGTACATTTTATTTAAATATTTCAATTTTTCAACAATTTATTTTTATGTTACGACCTTGCAACCCTACCGAAAATAGGTTTCATTATTTAATCTTCATTAAACTATTTTAAAACCCTGCTAAATCAACTGCTAATATTACCTAAGCGCCCGACGAATGACTAAAGTGAGGGTTAAGAAGAAAGCGAGGAGTAAAAGCATCATGAACATTCCCAGGGCGGCCAGATCCCATCCGAATGCGTCGCCCTCCATGTGAAAGTCCTTGAGGAACTGCTCGCCCGTCTTGTAGTAGCAATAATTCATAGCAGCATAGCACTCCAGCTCCCCGCGATCATAGCCGTAGATGGCCCTTAGAAGGCCCTCGAAGACGTAGCGGAAAAATGACACATCGCAGATGGGTCGCAAGAACCAGGAGAGTTCGTTTAAACGGATGAAAAACCCGGAGAAAAGCAGAAATGGTATCGTGGCACTCGGCACCAGGAATATCGCCAGCTGCATGGAGAACAGAGATCCGGCAATAACCCCAATAAAATGGCCAATAAACGCCGTTAGCACACAGATGACCCAGCACATGGCGAAGCGATGCAGCTCCGAAGGTTGACCGGTCATAAAATATCCGATGCTGATGAACATCGTGGGGCAAGTGAGCTGCAGGGGCAGATCGGCCAGCACCTTGGACAGATAGTAGGCCCTCAGGGAGTACCAACCGTTGTAGTACTCCCTGAGGAACACAGCCGAGTCCTGCATGCAGAGCAGGATCGAGGGCATTGCATTGCCGGCGAACACGAACAGGATCACAAAGAACAGGCAAGACACATTGGACACGATCTTCTCGGCGTCGGCTCCTATCTGCCAGTAGACTACGCCCAGCAGTAGGGCCACCACCACGTGCATGAGTAGACGCATCTGGACGGCAAACTAAAAGGAGAGGGAAATGTTAAAAAGGAAATTAAAAATCTCTAAATGGATAAGTGTCTTAAACCCACCAAATCCCTCGACATGGACCTCAAGTGTCGATGGAGGAGCACGCGCAGCTGGACCCAGAAGCCCACCTGCTCCTTGCCGCGCAGGTGAGCAAAATCACAGGACTCCCGGTGGACACTGATAAGCGCTGCTGGAAGGAAAGTAGAACAGGCAGAGAGAGAGAGCGGAAGATAGAGCAGGAGAAAGAGATGTGCAGTAAAGGAGGAAAATAATACGGAAGTGCGAAGGTGGAAATTGGATCTGTATGAGACAAAGCATCCTGAGTACCATCCTAACACTTTCACTTACTCTCCTCATCCACTTGGAGCTTCACAACGTTGCTGGTGTTGCAGTGGTACTCCTTATTTTGAGTAATAAGCGATTCACAACGCTCAACGGTGGAGGACTGGCTGCACACTTCGAGGGCTTTAATTAAATGTTATCAAAAACGAATCCTTATATGGATATTGGAAAACAAACCAAAATCTGCTGGATTGTAGTACTGTGGACAGATGTAGCCGGAACTGGCAAAGGTGTTCAGCATTTCCCGCTGCTCGCCGGCATAAAGGACTTCGCCGTGGGCAAGGACCACCACATCGTCGAACAATTGAAAGAGTCGTGATCCCGGCTGGTGAACCACACAAACCACTATCCTGCCATCGTGGGCCAGTCGCTGCAGGTGGCAAATCACCTGGTAACTGGCCACGCAGTCCAGTCCGCTCGTTGGCTCATCGAAGAACATAATGGGTGGATTCGTCACCAGCTCAATGCCAATGGAAAGCCGCTTGTGCTCGCCACCGGATAAATTCTTTACCAAAGTCCGACGACAGGACTGTAGCTGCAGAATGTCCAGAATTTCATCTATCTGGGAATTGTGGTATTAGTTTGCTTTACAATTTTATCATGTACATTTTCCACTCACAATTCTACGCTTTTCCTGAGATGGTGTGGAGCTGAGCATCTTCAAGTTAACGGAGATACGCAGGGTCTCCTCGACAGTCAGTAGGTTTAGCATCACAAAGTCCTGGGCAATATAGGCGGACATTTTACGGAATGTCGACATATCCCGGGGACGGCCATTTAGGAGGATCTGTCCCGAAACACCTCGAAGTCTGCAAGAAGTACACGTTGTATTTCAAATGAAAAAATCATCTTAAAATCTTATTCTGAAATTCACTTTCTAGAAACAAACTTTAATTTTAAAAGCCTAAAGGTACGCAGTAGATTTTATAGCTGGCCTATCACAATGTATTTTGGTTTAAGCAGATAACAGAGATAATGTCGCCAATAACTGTTATATGTACATATTAATTTACGTCTAAAACTCTAACAATACTCACTTGAAACCTGCGAGAGCATTGAGCAGCGTGGACTTGCCGGCTCCCGAGGGCCCCAAAATGGCCGTCAGTCGTCCCGATTTGAAGACTCCGGTAGCCTCGTTCAGTATTTGGCCGGGACCCTTCGTGGATCCACTTAGGCTGTAGCTAACCTGGCTAAAATGCAGCTCCAGAGCCTGCTGCTTCATGCCCAAGCCATTTGGTTGCCTTTGTACTGCGTTATCGGCCATTGGACGGCGTCTGGTGATTGTTTACGATTTAAAATACCCGAGTGACGTTTCGTTTCGATTTTTAGCGAGACAACCGAGCATTGAGCCGGTCAACAAACCAGTGAATTGAACTGGCGACGGCCCAACTCTTATTAAGTGCACAGGGAATCGGAGCATTCACTTATCGTTGGAATGACCGCTCGAGAGGATCGCGGATAATCTAATCGCTTAAGGTGTTACTGGATCGGATCAAGGTCGTCGAATCCAACCGAACATGTTGCACTGCAACTAGGCTTTAGGAATTAACTAAATATAGTTTAAAAAAAGTGCTAGTACGGCGCAAGATCTTGTCCGAGGTCAGTCGAATAGATTACTGGAAGAATGGCATTAGTTTGACAGTATCAGCGGGAAAATGTTGATAGCTAGGGAGACAGATAACAAATTAATAGCATGTAATTAGAAAGCTATTTATTAAATGGAATTTCCAAGAAAGAACCTTTAACTAACTAACTACTTAATATTAGTATTTTCCCTCCTTTTGTCACATTTCATTGAATAATTTCAAGACTGCAACTTTAATCGAAATAATACTTTTTATTCCTGCAATTAACTCTTTTCCACTTCCGCCTAAAAGTTAGCATCCATTTTCCAGATTTTCTTTAGAGAGTGAAATTATTAATTGGCCACGAACACTGTGTAATAGATACATTTTGTTTTCAGCTTGAAACAATGAACACTGATAGCGCACACCCACATAGCTTAAATATATATAATCCAAACTGCGTAATACATGGAAGTTAGGAATTTTAATGAAGATTATTCATTTCAATGCCAGACAGCTGCTGCTTATCACCAGCAGCTAAAAATAGTAAAAATTTGCACTAACTGCAGTTTGTGAATAATAAAACAAAATTTAAATTACAAACTTTAGTCCATGTAATTTTCACGAAAAACTGGTTTTAATAACAGACATCGCAAATCGGCTTCGCGTGCCGTTCGATCACTTAACGTTTGCATTTTTTTAAGGTTTATTATTATTGAAAGTGTTGAACGTACGCATAAATTGATTTCGTATGACACTTGGCCGGGTCGTTTTGTTTACTTTTATTTTTTATCGCCTCCTTCAATTAAGATTTGGAGTTATGAGCACATTAACCGAACCAGAGAGAGGGGTTCTGCTCATATTCCGTTGGTATTCCGAGCGCGACTGACCGATTTCAATTGCTTTCGGTTGGAAGCCGGCTATAGTTATTAATCGTAATTGATCTGCATCCTCAGCTGGCAACAAGTTTGAGTTGCACCCAAACTGCAGTCGGGCTTATATTTTGTGGCATACTTTCAAGCTATTCTTTGGAAACCAATAATTCACTTATCTAAATGAGTTTATTAAGTTTTAAAGTTCAATAGTATTTGCAAAGAACTTAGATAATGTCTGGGATTCTTTTAAGCCTTGAATATTGCAAGCTTGTGTATATAAAACAATTAGAAGCCTAACCTGTTTCTGGAAAACTATGTAAATATTTCAAGTGTCAAGTGTGCAGTGAGCTAGACAGATACACAAAGCTTACCTAAGACTAGCTGAGATAAACGTTACTGAATGAATTTGTTATTATGATTGGCTATTTGTTTACGTCTCAGTTTTTATCCCATTCAATCTATTATTTCTCATAGAATAATATTTGCATTAATTACAATGTGAATATTCACTTGAATTAATTAAATGCAAATGTAGATTTTAGTTTGTAAATTACAAATTGTATTTAATCCTATTAATTGAAAAACTTAACACCTTTTGGCAAATAAGAATAACAATGAGATAATACCTTTAAAAAGGGTTCAAAGTTTCGGCTCTACTCGTAGTTCTCAAAACACTATGTACCTTTCGATCAACTTTAGGCCATCTCCGCAGGTCAGAAACATAGTCAGAGGCACAATGGGAAAGTGATTAAAGTAGCCACTATAACGTCACTACGAAAAGATTGCGCTAAGAGGTACGTGCTTAGGAGGTAGGTGCATGGCATTTCGAGTCAAAACAACAACTAACCCAGCTGCGTCTTGGATTCCACTCCAATGCCCCTGCCGATATGGCGAAAAATGTGCAATAACAGAGAGAAAGCTTAGTGGCATTAGGAGAGCCAATGCCATGAAAGAGAGGACAGGAAGTAAAGCCATGAACTTCAAATGCACCGGAAGGGAGAGAAAAGTCCATTGCAATAAGATCTCAAAAGAGCTAACTGAGCTTTCTCTTTCTTTACCTCTCCGCTCTTAAGACTTGGTCTACATAAAAGATCTCTGTTAGTTAACAGTATCTACACAACTTCTACATGCTCTGAACGATGTAGATAGATGAACTGCAAGATACACATTTAGCTTTAAAAGACCCTTACAATAAAAATACATTATAAATTTCATGAAAAAATTGGTTTTAATGATATTTTCAAAGTCATACTCGCAGCCGAAGCCCTTAAATCAGGCTTTTGTTACAACTAGTCAAAAATCGGTCATTAATACAATAGAAAAATACATTTCTTTATGCGCTATGCTAATAAAGTGGTCTATTTACAGTTCTTGATCTCGGTAACCGCTAGGTGTGTGTATGTTTTAATGTGGGTGTGTTCTATTATCCTTTGTTTCAATTATATATCACGATTTCCTTACGCTCTATAGGCTTCTTCAATCTTTGGCACAAAAGTTCCTCTTGTATAAATGCTTAAAAAAGAAACCATAAATATAAAAACAAATATTTCCCAGGCGACGGAATGTGGCAGGCTTCCTCGTTTTTTGTTTTCCTAGACCCTGTGTGCCTCATCTAAACAGTCTGAGCCGGAAAGACATGATGTAGAAGGCCAGAATTCGGAGGAAGATGAAAATTCCAAAGAGAAAAATGAGGGCCAAGTTGTAGTTTCCGTCGGCCATGTCCAGGTTCTTAAGTATATACTTGGGCACCACCAGGTGACAGTACATCTCCTGGCAGTCCAGGCGCTCACGATCATACCCAAAGATGGCCATCATGCATCCCTCCAGGCTGTACTTTAGGAACGAAATGTCGAACATCCAGCGCATGTAGACCGGGGCATCCTTCTCCATCAGAAAGAACCCGCTGAACTGCAGGAACGGGCAGATGAAGAAGGGTCCCAAGATGCTGCCTAGCTTGAGGCTCAGCGCCGCTCCCACTGCCAGTCCAATGCTCTGCGAAACCAGAGCCGTAATGAACACAATCAGGAAGAAGAGCCCGAATCGCCAGAGCTCCATGGGTTGCTGGGTCATTAGGTAAGTGGGCACTATAAACAAGGCACTGCAGATGATCTGGATGGGCAGGTCGGCTAAGGTGATGGCCACGTAATACGCCCGCAGGGAGTACCAGCGATTAAAGTGTTCCCTCGACACAATGGGGAACTCCAAGGGAACTGTAAGAAAATATTAATAATTAATGTTTTAAAATAAATATTGGAAATTAAGGTAGAGCAACTCACACTTTACTAGAATCCCAGAGAATGCACAGTACATCACGAACATGATGGTGTAGAAGATGTACCGAAAGATGTTCAGCGTCTGGGCTCCATCGTTGCCAATCCCAAAGTACAGGGTTCCGATTAGCAGTCCCGTGATTATATGGATGGCAAACCGCATCGTGGTGAGCGAACTATCCCGCCAAATCAACAGAAAGGTCCTCAGCAGCAGGATGCTCAGCTGGCGATAGAATGGAGTGGCGTAGATATTCTCCCGATTACATAGATGTGAAGGATCCAGTTCCAACGCCGGTTTGGGTTTCTTTTTTTTCTTTGGCTTGCAGCAGCTTCCGGTGACTTTAGCTCCTACATCTCCGCTTCCAATGCCCGCCGTCTGGCTGTCCCACACCCGCGAAGATAGCTCATTGATTGGTGTGAGTGGCTTAAAGGAACTGCCCTGCGGAAAGTGTGGCCCTGAGGTGGCCATTACGGGGGCTGTTACCGGTGTAATTATTCCAGCGGCCATAAGTTGATCTGAAAAATATAGTGGTAGTTAGAATTTTTTATTGTAAGATTTGACTTTATGCCTTACCAACTTTCTTCATGGCTGCCAATTGAGCCACTCTGGCACTCTTGTTCTGCCTGTAATCCTCATTACGCCCGCTGTCCATCAAAGCCACCATCTTCTCCACTTGGTTGTCATCCTCCGTGTCGTAGTCATGCGTTGCAATTTCCATTACTGTAGATTAATTAAATTAAACTTCACATCGCATGTAGTATCTTTTTAAACTCACAGTAATCCGCCGGATTGTAGGATTCCGGGCAGTGCAGATTGAGGGCGCCCAAGAATGGCAGTAAGTTCTGCGATCCACCTGAGTAGATGCACTGACCCTCGGCAATGGCATACAGGTGATCGAACATGGCAAATGTTAGGGCGCTTGGCTGGTGGATTGTGCAGATGACAGTGCGGCCCTCCAGGGCAAGTTTCTTGAGCAGATTTATCAGTTGATTGGAGGTCGAACTATCCAAGCCTCTACAGAAAGAAAATTAAATGAATTCAAGAGTTGTTCCATTCAATTATTTAGCTTACTCACGTAGTTGGTTCATCCAGAATCAATACCGGCGGATTGTTAACCAGCTCCAGGGCAATGGCCAGACGTTTCTTCTGACCTCCGCTTAGCTTGCCAGTCATCGTGTAGCGGTTCTCATACATCCCGATGGCCTCCAGGATACTCTTAACCCGCTCCCGTTTTTCGCTGTGAGTCATGTGTGTGCCGATCTTCAGATTGGCCGCAAAGTGCATTGCCTCCTTGACGGAGAGAAAGGCCTGAAGACTCGTATCCTGGCGGATGAAGGCCACGTTCGGCTTGAAGGCTTTCAGGTCTCGTCGATTGCCATTCACGCTAAAGTCACCCGTATAGCCAAAGGTTCTGGAATATAAATATTAAACAGATTAGAGAGAAAAATTAGAATTAATTTGAGGGTTGCATTACGTGTATCCTGAGAGGATATTGAGGAGGGTACTCTTTCCAGCTCCCGAAGGTCCCACGATGGCACTCAGCTCTCCTGACTTGAAGTATCCCGTCACACCCATCAGGACATCTTTGGTTTCTGTAAAGATTGGTTAAATCACACATCAATTAAAACTAATTTCTTATGAAACAGGAACCAAAGAAAAATGAGTGTTTAGTTATCAAAAGAGTTATCAAAAGCTATTGACAGGGCTTACTGATTATAATCCAGTTGAGTAAAGTTCCTTAATCAAAGGTAGACGTGGGTTTTCAAGAAATTCACGTTATTTTGATTATTCACATGCTATCTAGCACATTAAATCATGAGTAAATATGACGGTTTATTCATTTTGAGACAAGTTTACATATGCTTTCTCTATTGATCATATAAAAAAGGTAATTTATTCCTAATCTTCTTCCTAATCTTTTTATTTGCCGAAGACCGCAAGGAAAAAGGAGATATTATAATTGCAAAAGGTATTTTCTTAATCATTTCAGTGAATGATTTGAACGTCCATTTATTTGGAATTTGTGTGATAATTGCAGGGTGTCCCACATTCGCACATTGAACCAGCTCTTCGGTGATAAGCAAATCCCATTTCCCGCGATTAGTGTCGTTCAGGGCTGCCTATCGCGCATGCTCGCTTTTCATTGTGCTCCTTAGTTGGATGATAGTGCCATAAAGAACCTTAGTTTTAGTTTACCAGTAGATTGGGTTGCCTTATAAGTAGGTTCGATTACTCGGTATACATTGTAGTGAAACGTACGCGAACGCGGGTTAATCTGTCGATTAGCCATGGCTACTGGCCAATTTAGATTTCAGGGGTCTGTTCAAACACTTATCAATCCCTCCATTGTCGAATCTTATCGCTGCAAACTCTATGACTAAAATGTCGTTAAAGTGCCTTTACGTCTTTTTTAATGCCCGCGGGCCAGATGTCGAACCAGAACCACCACCAAGCCAACAGGTGTACAAAGAGGAATTTTATTGCATTCGCATTATGGCAGTGAAGTTGGACGCCTGCTTATCACGGTTTTGTGATGACCCTGTACTTGGTACTGCATTTTTCAAAAAGGGGGATTATGCGTAAGAAATAAGCCGGAATAGTGCATTGAACACCTGCAAGTTTATAGCCCTTTGCAAACTATATATTAAATAAACTTTAAATTTCAAAGAAAAATGGTTACAAATCATTTGTTGATATGGCTAAGGTCACTTAGAGGTAAAGTTATTCAAACGATTTCATTATCAAAATCTAACTAATACTCCACACTTTAAATATTTGTATAATTTTATCAATTAAAAGCTTCAACAAATTTGTAGACACGCAGAGGCCTGGCATATATTTCCGCTCATTCTAAACATTTCTTATTAAATCGTAGCGGAAACTGTCCTCAACAATTACATCTGAAGCGTGCTTAATAGAAAAGAGGAAGCTTACGGATCTCAAATCACCTGACTCATCTCAAAAGTCGGCTTCAAAGTCGGCCTCTTGATATATCTATATATATTCTTTACAGTTGTAGAAAAGTTGTTTAAGTATAATGACGACACGCGAGGAACAACGAGAATTCAAATGAAACAAAGAACAGATATTTCATTTAATGGAACTTAAGTGACATCAATTAAAACGTTTTCGTCTTTCTCATAAAGCCAAGAATTCTGCATTATTATGCTTAATCGGAAAGCTTTCGTATCATAAGCATTTTGTGTTTTATTATGCGTATCTATCTAGGGTATCTATGGTTCATTATCATTTATATTCCTTGTCCCCAATGGCATAATAATAATAATAGTAATAATATTTATCACATGTCCGACATGTGTCGTAATCAGAGTCGTAGTCATATTTGTGTACACGTATCCATGTACGATATATCGATTGGCTTTCACTAACTTCTGATTTCTATTAAACCAAAAAAAAATAAAATAAATAAATAAAAAATCAATGGTGAAAAATTCATGTATGTTTTTACTTTCCATTATCACTGCCTGGCCGGGTAGGTAAGTTGATAAAGGTAACTTGTAGATATGGAACACGAGTAGCATTGTAGCTAATTTGGGCTATGCTTTGTTGTCGCAGCACTACAAGTAGCCTTGGTCAAAGTTTTTTGTCTAGTAACTCAAGGAACGAACACTATTTCTGCGATTAGTGTAATATAGAGTAGAAGTATTATACAATATACAATAAATTCGTGAACAGCGAAGAATCAGTTAATTACTGTGTAGGTACTAAATAATAATAATAATAATAATAATAATAATAACTGGGCACATCAGTCTCGTTTTTCTTACTATAAACAAAGACTATTCATTTGGGAATTCATCGGAATCACCCTCGTAATATTTGCCTATGATTTATCGTGTGCCTAATCAGCGTGCGGCACGTGCCATAATTTGTATCAGGATCATAATCAGATACTTAAATGAGTCAGCCCATGACTCACCAGGGATACTTTGAGGGGGCCACCTGTTCAGGCAAATATCTAATTGGGGAAGCCTGCCTTCTATCTATCAGTGCGGGTGCAAAGTGAGTCACAGACCCAAAACATATTATATTTCCCTATTTGTAACCGCGATAAGCGGGAGTATTCACAAGAAGTATCAAGTAATTGCGATTGCGTAGTTTTATGCGTTTATCATAGGCATTGTAACTGTGGGATCGGCAATTGTAAACAAACAATAAAGCAGGAACACTCGCCGATATGCAAATAGGTTCCGTGAGTTATATTTAGATAAAAAGACCACTGACCCTCATATTCAGCCCTGACCATGCAACTACACTTCTTTCCTTTCTGCGTGTGCACAAGTTTAATTCAATTGAAGGAGCTCTTTGAACCCAATAATTTATTCAATCAGCCGCTTGTCAATATAGCAAATTGAAACTGAGACAGTTACATATAATAATAACAAAATTAAAGAAAATATATATATAAAAACAAAGCCATCTCAATTGATAAATTTCCTTTGTGTGTTCCGCTTGACGGACTTTATACAATATTTAAATCTAAAACCACGCGCTGATAATATTTGGTTAACATTCTACAGATTAGAGCAAATTCGTAGATTTAACGACTCTATCTGGAGAGTAATGAACCGAAACCGAATCAGATATCAGCGCGGTTGATTCAGATAATTGTTGGACCATTTGTATTCTGACGGTTTCATTAAAAACCCATTTTTGCCGGCCCGTACAAAAGATTAAAGTTGAACTGAACTGGTTAACTTTAATTGGGTTTACTGGACATTGCCGTATTCATATTTATTCAGACTGTCAACCCTTAATTATAACGGCCACCAGTGCGTGTATGGGACCAAGCTGCCAATTATATAGCCATGAGGCACATAAGCTTTTGTTTTTGCAATCTATATAAAGACTATATGTTTCACCGCCCATTTTTGAAGTGTCAAAATAAAGGGAATATTAAAACACGCCATGTAAACTTAAAGATTGTTTTCTCTTTCAACAAACAAGGTGTGATTTTGCGAAATTCTCTGGGGATATATTATATGTTAGGCAGTATTTTAACCAGACAGCAGACTTAACATAAAAAGTATATTGTTACTAAAAAGTCTGAAAAAAAACTGTTTTACTTTGGCTATAAAGAACCGGGCACATTAAAAGCACATTTTGGAATAATCCCCTCAAGAATAATACCCGAAATTAAAGAAAAGTTTTATAATTTCTAAATGTTAATTCTCTAATCTTACAACCCAGAAATACGAAATACCCCCTGATCTTACCCCTTTTGAAGACTCCAAATTTGGTGGTATATCGTATGCTCTCGAACCCAATGTTGATCTTCTTGATGGTTTTGTACTGTTCATGGGGGAAGATGGATCCTCCGCTGGTGCCAGTGGTGTTGGTAGTTGTAGTGCTGGCACTGTGCTGGGTCTCCTGGCTCTGGTGGCTGGTTTGACTCTTTTGGCTGTGTCCCGCCGGTGAGGAGAATGGTGTGGCGCCGCCCATGGGTGTGCCGTAGATGGAGGAGGAGCCGGCGGAGAGAACCGTATTTTCCGTCTCGGCCAGCGGAGCATCGTGCGACTTGGACTGCGACTTTGTGCCACCGATGTGCAAGGTTAGGTGTGGAGGTCGCTTGGAGGACAACTTCTTGGCGGGCACGGGCGTTGTGGGACGGGGTAATCCAGACACAGATCCACGGGTTGGTATGTTTGACTCCGAACTCGCCTTGAGGTTGCTCAGTCGGATGACATCACTGCCACCGGTCACGTTCGGCGACACCGCGCTGGCCAAACTCCAACTGGACATGGTTTCGGGATTCGCACGTTATATTCGGTTTGTGTATATTGTATATTTTGATAGCACTTTTTTTGATCTTTCGGCTTTTGGGGTATACCCTTAACCCGCTTTGGTTTCACTTTTATCGCTCGCTCTTTTCAGTCTGCCCGCTCCAACATTTTACGCTCATTTAATTTGCCCCTTCCGCTCGGTTCGTCTTAGGCCTGTTTTTTTATTGTTTGTAATTTTTAAGGCGCGTCAACAATTAGAATAAATAATATTTGTTTCGCCAAAAGTGGGAGAGTGTGCGTGCCTGGGGCTCATTTGAATTAAATTTTCGCTCACACGACCGTTTGTGTGTGTGTGAGAGTTCATTCCCCCAAGAGCGTGGAGCAAGGGGGGCGTCTAAGGGGCAACGAAGGGGCTGCGAGAGACCGGCATGCAGCCTATTTAATAAAAAGTCGAACTGTGCGGGGGCGGGGGCGGGGGCCGGGACTGGGGATAGGGCCTGCTCGCCTGTTGCTAATCGGACCATGCCTCCAAAAACTAGAATAGCGCACCAACACACATGGTGTTGCTGCGTCCATGTAAAGCGTGCCAGAGAGCATGCGAGAGCAGGCATAAACAATGTTTGTTGTTGCTACTGCTGCTCTCGGTGTTGGCCCCACAGATGGAGAGAACGGGGGAGATGCTCCCATGCGGTAGCCGCGGGGGAGGAAAGAACAAGACAGACGAGTGCGCTACCATTTATGTTCGGGCTTATCAGTTTAACGCGGCAAGTTGACTTTTGACCCTCTTTTAATGGTTATTGTCTAATTTTATTTTATATTATTAAATTAGTAAAGCAAAAATGGGCACCAAAAATTAATGTTTTTCAAACCTATTATCGTAATCAAATTTCTTTAATGTAATATATATTAAATAATCTTTATAGTCGTAATTAGTAATCCAATTAGTTATCTTTTATGTATGTTTATTTATGTTCTAGAAAATAATTTAGTTATTAATAAGCATCTTTTAAAACAGCAAGCAAAGGGAATATTTTCTCATTTTGTATTATTGCCACCATTTATATCCACAAAATATATATTTACACATTTTTTTTTTTTTAATTTTCATCACTTGTGACAAGCTTTTGATTATAACGAATATGCCCCGAATTTTGATATTGTTGTGTAGGGCACGCGAAATGCACTCAAAGCTTCTTCTTTATGATGCAAATACACATTTGCTTATATTTAGCACGTTCTCTCCACGCTCTCGCCTTTGTTTTGAATTTTTTTAAATAATTGAGACGCACTTTTAATCGCTCTTAGTCTCTTTTTTTATTCGTTAACTAAACTCCAAAATTAGTGAATTAGGTGAGAAAAACGTAACCGCTCTTCGACCAGCTGATATTTTCTTTATGTGTATGTGTGTTGGCCTAGCCATCGACTTATTGGCCCCTCCGTCATTCCACCGTCTTTCGCGATTGGCAACGTTGTTGTTGTTGTTGCTAGTTTCGCTATAGGCTCACCTACTAAGTATTTAGTATGTAGTTCTCACTAAAAAGTATATCAAATTCTAAGGCTTTCCAATGTTGTTGTTGTTGTTATTGTTGATTTTCTTCTTGCCTTGCGGCTTATCACTGTGCATGTGAGCGGGGCGGAAAAGAGAGGGGGGGGCCGATAGGACAAAGGCTAAACCCCATGCCGTTTGTGGATGTTGCTGTTCCCAGTGCAATGTAAGCCACAAAAAATATTAAGTTCGATTGGTGAAAAATAAGTGATTATCACGGTGTTACTACAGCTGATAAGCGAAGTGCAGCCAGCGCATAGGCACACGCACTCACACACACGCACAGAGTGTACAATTAACTGTTGAACATTACCGCGCGTAATTATATAGAGGGATATGTGTATCGTTTACAGAACCGGAGAGCTGCGCGATCTTTAGCGGCCGTTGGCGCGGCACGAAATGAATTCAGGAAAGTTGAAAAATATGAACCAAGCTGATTAGCCCCCCCACTCTCCCCCATTGCTGTCTGCGAGAAAGATAGCAAGAAATACGAGAGAGAGAGAGAGCGCGCACAGCGAGAGAGCGTTTGCTATCAGCTGTCTTTTGCTAACCCCCCCAAAGCACAAGGCCCGAGGTTTCTGTGGTTCTGTTTATGATTTCGACGCCTTCTCTTTGCCGCAAGGGTGTTTTTAGGTTTATTTGAAAAATATTTTGAGTTGCTCATTTCCTAGTATTTTTAAGGGAAGGTTTTTCCGCCACAACTCCTTTGTTTTGGTTTCCCCTCCTTTGTTTCAATTCGAATTCCCATTTTGAGGCCAAACAAAGGAGCTTAAAAACCAGTCAAACCAGTTTTCATGACCGTCATCAATGTTGCAAGTGACAAGGAAAACTGATTAAAAGAAAATTATAAACTTATGAATAAAGTTGGGTTTATTTGTGAGTCATTTCCATCTATGAGTATTCATTTCACGGTCTTTGAGCAACGTATGCTAAAAATTTGAATCAAAACGCTTCTTTTTCTAGACATCTGGCGACACTGGCAACATATCCCACAAACGCGTTAAGACCTGTGAGCTTTTACTCATTAATTGACTTTGGCGGTCAAATTTCAACTTTATTTTCGAATGTTTGTCTGTCTTTGTTTAAAGAACTTCTAGTATCTTAAATGTAATATGCCCAAAAGTGTGCTAAGGATTTTTAGATTTTATAAAACAATCTTGCGACTACAATTATTTCTCTGACTACATTTAAAGGACTTTTTGGAAGGATTTCAAGAACAGAGATTATTTTAAATTTTAATTGAAATAAAAAATTTGTGGTTTAAAGTCACTTCTTGTGGCTCAGATCAAGCCTCTTAAAGTTACTTTTACCGACTAAACAAAACTTGTCATAAGTTTTAGTTTATGCCAAAATATTTATTATTTAAATAAAGTTTATTCCTTTTTAGCTGACGCTGACTGTTCCATTGATGGAGCTTTAGCTACCCCTAAGCGGTAAGGGGAGCGTAGCTTTTGCGTAAAAGCTCCTCAAATGCAGAAGCAACACTTGGCAGTTAACAATTGTTATCATTCCGGCACCAACGCTTGTTGCTTCAACTCGTCTCGGTCAACGCGTCGGCTACGCAATTTTTGCCGAAGAGCATTCAGACCCGAATGGTTACGTTGCCGGCCATCTTTATTACCAATTTTTGGGCGCGCGTCGCGAAACTAAACGGAATTGTCGCGTGAATTTAACGAGTGTTGACATCAATGGGCTATAAGTGCTATAAAGGATAAATACCGTGTAATCTGTATTAAATTGGAAATAAAATACGGTCAATGAAAACCAAACAAAGGGAAATTTTGTGTAAATATGTAAACAAGAAGTGAAAAGTGGGAAAGTGAATTGAAAGGAGCAGAAAAGTGAGAAAGTGAATTGAAAAGAACATTTCATAGAAATGAAATTCAATGAATATCAAAAGTCAGTGAAAGAAATCATCAAGGGCAACAACAACACGTAAACAAAATAACAAATATTATTCAGAATTTATCTGAATGAAAGTGTAAGTGGGCAAACGGAAATTGTATTTATTTTCGAGCACCCCGAATAAGTGCTGATCGCTGTGGAAACTATATCCCATCGAAGAGCAATCGTCGATATTTGTTTAAATTAATATAACGTGTGAATGTTTACTGCAGCGTGGATGGGCAAAACAAATACCCGAAAGTGTGGAGTGTAAACAAAACTTGAAAATGAACGCGGCCAGCGCCATCGGTTGAAAAGTCAACAATCGGGCAGCTATCCCAAAGAAATCCCAGAGGGAGAGCACAAAGAACCGTCCACGGTGAGTCTAGAACAAAAGTATCTCTTTTATCTTCTGGGCTTGAGGCTGCCGCCTGAGGCTTCAACGCTATCGATTAGATAACGACGAGGTGCTGTGTTCCTTTCACGGGGGATATGTGTACCTACAAGTAGGTGTTGCGGAATTCTCGGAATTCCCTAAACATTTCTCTTGTTCGGTGCATTATTTTTATCGTTCGTGAATTACGCCCTGATTGATGATCGGTTCAATTGCCGCACGCACTGCGCAATTGATATTCCAGTTGACTTCGATCAATCTAGATGGGGTGTTGATGTCTCCTCACCCAGGTAATTGCCTCAGCTCACGCCCCCTTTTTGGCCACCCTCTGCATATGTACATAGATACATACATGTGTATCTGAAGAGACGCAGAACAGCTCCCCTTCGATAGATGTGGGCGCTGGGTTATTTCAATTTTTTATTAGATTGTGCCACGGTTATTTTTTCTACTTTTAGCTCCCAACTTTTTTTTTGTTCGGCTCGACAGCGGCCACTTTAAGTGATAAGCAAAGTGTCGCCATTTTTACCGTGCGTTCGTGATTGTGCCTCGTATATATACCGCTATATATATTTTGTCAGTTTAGTGACTCCACTAATTATCGAACTAAAAATTATCACACTCTTTTAGCATGGCCACCTCTGCCTGCTCGACTGCCCCCACCACGGCTTTTTATTACAGCTTAAAGGCATGTTTTGTTATTTATTGTTGAGAGAGCATAGAAGGCCCAAAGCGAAAAACAATGCCGGTTTTTTCGGTTCAGTATGTGTGTATATACATATATATATAACAGCCTGCACATGATTAAGTAGCCCCATTTAATCTACTTAAACACGCGCTACAATTGATAAATATTTTTAGCCAAGAAAAGGCCCGAGGGGAGTCCGAATGTTGCTCATTAAATCAAAGTAAAGTTAACCTCTCTTTGAGCACGCAAATTAATTTTAATAAATTGCATAAATTCCCTAATTTTGCCCTGCCAGCTCCGAGGTAAAAGTATTAAAGAGGATTACAGCACAAATTTACTTCCTTTGTTGTTGTTTCGTTGTTTATTACCTTAGATTTTCTTAAATTACGAGGATTTTGTATCACAGCATAAAACTATAAAGGACAATATTCCGTTTTATTTAATTTATTACTTTTGCAGCAGTGCTGTTGGGTTCTGATTGCAAAAAATCCATGTGCTTTTTTAGGGAGACTAAATTACTTAGAGTTTTTTATAATATACAACACTATTCCAATGGACACAAGAAAATGTGTGTGTAGCCTAACATTCCATGACAAATAAAAACTCCAAATTCGCACAGATGTTTGCTAGACGTCATACCTCTCAGCGCTCTATCTTTTTTGTTATTGTCAAGTTGTATTATTTTTTGTATTGTAGTTATCTAACGAATACACACTCATAAAAAAAATGTATACAATGGCGACGGTGGTAGTATCTCATCAATTATTTTTACGAGTAGGAATAGACATTGGAGAGCTTTAAAAGGCTGCCGCAAACGAGTCCATGGACGATCACATACGCAGAGACTGAATACTAATATAGACATTTAAAGAACCTTTCAGCCTACTGGCAGGTTTCACTGAATGTGAATATTCGGGGCTAGCACAGACTTTTCCTAGTTTGGGTTTATTTAAGGTATAGCTGCAGATTTAATTTCGTACTTTTAAAACTCAATTTCATGGTCTTTGAATATTTTTGGTAAATATTTATTTTCTTTTTAAATATGCTTTAAGAAGTAAGTAAACAATATTATTTACATTTTACAAATAACACATGTGTTCCTTTTATCTGTTTAATTTTATTTACTTTAGCAAAGAAAAATCCACATTTTTTTACATTTCTGAAGCATATGTGTATCTTTTTGTATATTTTGTTAAAAATACATATTCTGTTTTATAATACAGATTAAAAACTATTAATATGTAAATGGAATTAGCGGCTTTATTAGAATTTATTTATTGAAAACGATTTGTTTAGAGATTATTATTATCATCCGCCAATCAATCCTTAACAGATTTCAGTATAACAGCATAAAAAGGATAATAAAAATGTATACTAGATATTATTTTTGTAATATTTGTATACCAAATAAACCAATATTACATATTAAATGTCCTCTGTGGACTCTGGCCAACCTCTTGTTAAGTTTTAGGGGCCCGAATTCTACCTCAGCACTGACTACTGGCCATTTTAATTGGTTTCGGTTTATTGCTGATATTGCAATTAGGGGGAATTTTCAAATTTTGACTACATAAATAAGTGATGATATATGTACTTATATACATATGTTCATAAATATACAAGCAGAGTAAAGTCCATTTTAACACTTGAAATTGTTTTGGCTTGTTGGCTGTTGCTTATCTTCCAAAGTCTACTACAAAAATAACCAAAGAAATTCCGATATTAGTTATTAGTAACTCGTTATTTGGTGAAGACGATTCTGAGTACTCAGAGGCCCTAAACTTTATCACTTTCACCCGTTGGAAGCAGAATAAAAGCGATTTAAAAAGTTTGGCCTCGGCAACAGACAATACTTTTCGTTAAAGTTGTGTGTTCTTTTTCCCAGCGAATTTGGCAAACCAAAACAATTCGTTCAAGTTGGCGTGAAATGGAAAACAAATTGAACTTATCAATAAATCGAGTAGGTGCGATAACGATTAGAAAAGTGGCCGTACAATGACGCGACCGAATTCAACGCCAAAAAAAAATCCAAAAGCCACAAATTTCGACTCATGGTAGTACAAAAAAAAAAAAAAAGAGTTGGCGGCATTGAATATGGCCCCCAGTTTTTTTAGAACTATACAGATAAGGTATTAAAGTCGTTGCTCCTGTTGGCTTTGTTAACTTCTTGCCTCTCTTTGAAAACAGAAATTATATAAAATAAATGTACATTTCTAATATAGCTTATTTAGCTGAAAAGAACCTTTTAAAATCGTAAATACTCAGCCACTAAACTCAACTCAGAAGTTCTTAAACAATTTGTTTGCTGGCTTTGGCACTAAGTTGGCAACGCCTGACACTTGTGAAAAATTATCAGTTGATTAAAACACAAGCATTTAATTTATGAGTAGCCGTCCTCTTGGTCTGGTCCCACCTGGCTGGTGGCTGGCTACCTGGTTGGCTTCACCTGCCGAGCTTAATGTGTCAGCCGGTGAGACAGAATAGGAAGGCGACGCACCTCCCTCACGCTAAAAGGCTGAAGCTATCAGTTAGCCTTACTTAAAGCGCCTAATATCTGGAAATTCCACGCTTCTTTTATTGATTGCAATGTTCTTTGGACTTATCACACGATTCAGCAAGAAACAGAGCTTTCGTCTCTCAACCTCTTATCGGAGCGAAGTTTGCCACCCAAAGTTGATGAAATGCGTCATCTTGTCGGGCATGTGGCATGTCAAATATGTGGGATATTCTGTGGATATGGGGGCTCAGAAAAATGTGTGGGTCATTCGGTCAAAATGAACGTGATATTTAATAATCTATGGAGCTTGAATGCTGGCCAAAATTCAATAAAATTATTTATTGGAATATATTTTCTTTGATTTTTATTGGGGTTACATCGAATATGTTAACTGCAAAACAGAAGAACTTCAATCCCAAGCAAACACTGCTGGCAAAAATTAGACATAATCATGAGTTGTTGACAAAGCAAAGTCCATCCTAAATCATCATCGTTATATCAGGGCCATAAAAGCCAAGCCAGCCGATTGATTGTTATCTATTCAAAATGCAATCTACCGAATGTGTGTGTGATTACGGGCTTGGCTTTTTCTGTGTGCTGGTATCATACTATAAATCGAAATCGTTCGAAAATAACATTAAAGCCTAGAGCTATTTGTAAACATGTCAATGTGAGTCATTGCAATAAATCGAATTAACTGTATTTGTTTGTTCAAAGGACAATCGATGCTTATCTCGGTGTCCTTCAGTGAAAGTTAGACTTTGTTTGTAAACCTACATTACAAATAGAAGAAAACGGCTTAAGTATTTGTATTTATTTATATATTTATCTCACCTGAAACTCTTGATGTTTACTCGTGATTGTAACTTTTGACAGTATCAGCACAAAGTGTTTGCTTATCGTAATACTGTCCCCTATTATCCACTATCTGATGCTTAAAAAGTGCGCGTGTTGTGTTCCATTTTATTATTGCAATCACGCAAATGGTATTATGGAGTGCCCATAAATTACCCTAGGTCGGGGAAATATTTTTTGTATGCAGAATTATTGACATTATATATATTTATATACCTATTCTTAGTTTTAACTTAACAACTTCATGATTTAAGAGAACATTCTAATTGAAAATTAAATCTACAAATTCTCATTTGCATCCATGCTCATTGGACTTATTGAAGCATCGAATCCAGAAAGAATCACAGATACCCAGAAATTTAAAGAGCATTTGTGTAGGCCTATGACGCCAAAAAGTAGGCCTTATTTTTATCAAACTAGAAAAGTCATGACAACGCCATTCCTGCGAGTTTCGAGCATTTTTATGGTCGCTGCACTCGACTTGTTTTTATTATTCAAACTACGTAAATGGTGTGAAGTGCTAAGTGTGTCCATAAATGCCGGTAGGTCAGGAAACCCGACGACAGGCCGTTGACGTCACAACTGAAACGTATCTTTTTCCACATAATTAACCGCGTTTTCGCAGCTGCGATGCTTAGTTCCGTTTTTAAAGAGTCATGAACTTGAACTGAGAATAGAGGATCCCAGCGGTCATGACGCGGCGCCTGCTTGGGAGATTTACGGCTGTGTTTGCCGAGTATTACGAAGCAACAGCTCCGGACAGCTCCGGGCCCCGCCCACTCAGACAAGTGATGAGACGAAGCCGTAATCTGGAGCTACCGCCTGTCCACGAAACTGCGTAATCGTTCGCTGTTTCTTAGATGAAATAGTAGATGTTTACCCGCAGATTTAGATACGGATCGCGTATAAAAAGAGTGTCTCCCGCTATTTCACAAGCCATTTTCGGACAAGCCGCCAGTCGCCAGTGTTATTCGGTTTGCATTTACAAGAAGGAGTAGCCGAGAGGAACATAGCATGGAAAAAGGACACCAGAACCATAAGTTTTCCCGCAAGAGCTTTAAAGCTGCCTAGGACCAACTCCTACCCTACTCGACTGTGATATCCGAGATTCAAGGATCAAGCCTAGAATTAGTTAGTTAAGCCCAAGGATTCTAAAGAAGAAAGAAGGCACCACAGGAATCCCAAAGATGTTCCTCAACATATTCAATTCGGGCATCTTCCAGTGGCAGTTCCGCCGTCAGCTGCTGGTCTCATTGAGCGGTATGTTGACAAAGATAAGACGGATTTACGGCTCAACTGGGTAGCGGAAAGTTTCGGGTTCCCGGGTTCGTGTCATGAATTAGCCAGGAAGGCTGTCCACAGACCCGAATTCCCACAGTTGACACAAAGTTGACACGGCCGAAAATTAAATTTCACGCGTGTCTATGCAAATGAAACTCTTGAGCTGTTGATTCTGAGATTAATATTGCTCTATGTATGTATTCTCGTAGCCACGCTGATAACCTTTTGTCATGGCATCGCTCTGGGATGGCTTTCACCGATGCTACCGAAGCTCCTGTCCCCCGTCGAGACGCCTTTGTCCTTCCACATTGACGTAGACCAGGCCTCCTGGCTGGGAGCCGTCATAAGCATTGGTGGCATCACCGGCAACTTCTCCTTCTCCTACTTGATGAATCGCTTCGGTCGAAAGGTGTCGATATACGCCCTGGCAGTGCCACACACGGTGCGTTTTCCGAACTTACATCTTTTCTGCAGGATTTGCCATTGAACGAGTGCTTAACATGTCTTGCTCCCGTTTCTTTTGATCCGCAGTGCATTTGGTTCATGTTTTACTTCGCCCAGAGCATCGAGTGGTTGTATGTGGCACGGGTGTGTGCAGGTTTAACTGGCGGTGGCATGTTCGTTGTGCTACCCATTTTCATTGGCGAAATCGCCGACAACAGGTGAGTGCGGGGGTTTGGTAGGGAAATCGAGCAGAAAAGCTTTCCATGTTGTACCCAATGAATCAGAGTACTGGCACCGAACGAAAAATGACTTCAGTTAACTAACTTCGTGTACAATGATTTCTATCTCACTGCGCTAGAGATTCCTTCTCAAGCGTATTTAATGGATTGTCATAAACGAAATCAATATCTCTGTTTCGAGAGCAGTCGTAGCTAACGAAGCCTTATCAAATCCCCATTTGGGCTACCCCCTTTCCCTTGCAGCATTCGTGGACGCCTGTGTTCGTTTTTCACGCTGACCATGAACACTGGCATCATGGTGGGCTTTGTCGTTTCCTCACACATTCCCTACCATGTTATTCCCTGTGCCGTGGTGGGCCTGCCAGTGCTGTATGTATTCCTGGCCACCCGCTTCCCGGAGCCTCCCCAGCAACTGATTCGATGGCAACGGGTGGAGGAGGCCCAGAGATCCTTGAGGTTCTACAGGCGGTGCGATGGGCCCAATGTTTCCAAAGAGGCGGAGCGGGCGTACCAGAAACAGTTCGACGAGATGCTTTTGGCCATCCAGCAGCAAAACAAGGATTCTGACAATAAAGGGCTTTCTGTTGCCGATTTTTGTAAGTGAATTAACTGAAATTTCTGACTGGATTGCCAGTAATTAAGTTGCCACTTGTGCTTAATACTTTGCTCATAACGCCATTTTGCAGTGAGCAAGCGCTCCTTGAAGGCCCTGGCCACGGGTCTTATACTGATGATCGCCAACATCTTTACGGGAACCTTCGCCTTTATCAACTACATGTCGAACATCTTCGACCAGGTCAACACGCAGCTGGATCCCAACACGAACACCATCATCATTGGAGCCGTTCAGATCCTGGGCACGCTGGCCAGCATATATGCTGTGGATCGCTACGGTCGGAAGCTCCTGCTGATCGTGTCCTGTGCAGGAAGTGGTATCGGAACTGCAGCTTTTGGGGTGTACGCCTTCTATGTGGAGCAGCAGGAAGTGGATCTCTCAGCCTTCTCCGCCTGGCTGCCTGTCTGCCTGATGTCCTTCATCATCTTCATTGCCAACGTGGGCGTCATTTCGGTGACAATGGTGGTGCTGGTGGAGATCCTGCCGCAGAAGATCCGTGCAGTGGCCACCAGCTTCTGCTTGGGCTGCCTCAGCTTCTTCGCCTTCACCTCGCTGAAGACCTTCCCGCTGATGATGTTCCATCTGGGCCTGGCGGCCACCATGTGGTTCTGCGCAGCCACCAGCGCACTGTGCCTCTTCTATGTGGTGGTCTGCCTGGAGGAGACCAAGGGTCGCTCCATGTATGACTAATGCTGAATAAATCTTAGATAGTTAGTACTTCCCAGACCGTGTTTCTCTAGCGGGGGTGGGCATTAAACCAAAACAAAACACTTGGAAACAGAAGCCGCGGGAGGAGCGCCTAATAAAAGTGGAGCGCTGACAGGGCTTGATTTATGGCCCAGTCTGCCCCACCTGTTGCTAATGCGATGTCAACAATTAGCTCCCGGACTTATAATTTACAAGTCCTCGACTTAATACCTGCGAAAAGCGCATGTGTGGTCGTCAATGGCAATGCGCCTGCCACGTGTAGGTCTTCCACAAAAGGGTCCTCAGAGCGAGTAGGGAAGAAAAGCTCCCCCCACACTTTACATCTATATTTTGCATTCGGAATGCCACCACAAGTTTGTGGTAAGCCTTGGTATACAGCAAATGTTCTACAGGATTGATAGAAATAATTATTATCAATTGTTGAATTTAGGCAACAGGCCCAATGCATTTCATAGAATTCAATATTCACATAATTAGGATTGTTAATAAGCAATTCAATCTCTTTATTAATAAGTAGGATGTGGTAACGATGGTGATGATTTTCCGTAAATGCCGATAGTAATGAGAGCCTTTGCCGCTCCAATACCTCAGTCTATATACTCACAATATACATTCGTATGAACACACACATATATGTATATTTGTTCAGTGGACAACCAGCTCTTAAGTGTGTTTCGCAGTACCCCTTTATTTGTCAACAAACTCACTTTAAGTGCAGTAAACTTGAAAGCTTTCCTTGCCTATGTAACGTTTTTGTTTTTCTCATTTTTTTTAAACTCACTAGCCTTGACTTTGAAATACCACTATAGTTGTTTATGCAAATATTAGTATTATTTTTTGTACATTATAAATACAATAACAGGGTAAGAAGGAACCTTTTGACGGCAACCACTAATTAAATTCCATAATATCCAAGTGGTCTCACCATTTCCACGTGCCAGCTTGAGCATATTTGTGGTGATATTAGGTGACATAATTGGTATTCAATTTCAGAATTGAGGTCACAATTTAAATGTGTCTATGAGGAGCATTGACGGTGTCAAGCACTCCCTCATCTTGTCACCGTAATTTTCCATACAAGCAGAGAAATATATATAGAACTGCCACAATTTCAGGAAATACCTGTGAGAAAATTCACAGTTCTAGCTTATTAATTTCATTTAAAAATTTTTGTAAACATTTGTATTTTTTATCAATAGATTCCTTATTTAAATGGTTTGTTTTTAAAGGCTTAACATTTTTGGTTGCTGTGTATTTTAGATAACGCATTCAAATATGTGGAGGTACAGCCATCAGAATGCAGAACCCGAACAGCATTGGCAGTAGGATAGTCGTCCTTGCAGGGCTCATCCTGCTGGCGGGGGCTTCCGATTCTTTGGGGCCCCAGAGTTGGGTAAACAGTACAACCATTATAATTCCAACTGTGGTATCCTTGGGCAACGGAACGGAATTGGGAGAGCAGATAAATACACATCGGTACGTAACAAGCATACCAGGATCAGGCGGCGGGAATGCAACGAGCAAGAGCCTGGAATCCGTTACCAGGATGAGGAATAATGTGAGTACACTTAAATAAAAAAATCGTATTGAGTACTTCATTTTTTTAATTAAAGGTTAATTAGTTCAGAGATTAAATTATCAGTTAGCAATGCTACTTAAGGCCAAGTATAAAAAACCCATTTCCTTTTGGAATATTTCATTTCTATAAATTTGAGTCGCAGAATAAATTTAAAAACTTGTAGTTTGAGGAAATCTCTGTTTTTGAAGTGTACAAATCAGATTTGATCAGATTTCCTTGCACCTTACAGCCCACACCCAATGGAGAGATTACGGAAGTGAGCACCAATGTAACACTCTACATGGAAAAGATTCCACGACTGCAGGTGCGTTGGCAGGACAACCTACCCGAAGGTGAGCACGGATAGAAAGTTACCCATTACCTCAGGGTTAGGCTCAGTAAGCACTGCAAGTCTAAGGAGTCCATAGGTTCAGCGTAACCTTTTTACTTTTCCTGCTTAAATTTATTATAAATTGAAATATTTAATTTACTTGCAAACATCCGGTTCTTCCAGGCACTTCCTATAACGTACTTGTCAGCGCGTTGAACAACACCAGGTGTCCGGATGCTCCCTGCAGCGAGTACGGCATCAAGCGCAAGCCCGCGGCACCCAACTTCGTCTACCTGCCCCTGAATCCCAACCTGAATGTGGAATCGGTGGACTGCAACTACATGTTTGGATGCCAGTACAAGGTCACTGTGGAGACATCCAACGCGATGGTCCGCCGCTCCGCCCGCGTCTTTGTCCCACGTAAGTTTGATATTGAATTCAAGTATTACTTTAAAATATACTCTCAGAAAGTGTAATAATACAAAACTACTTTGTAATGGATATTGGGCAATCGAATCTCGACCTCTTAATTAACAATTGTCTAACAATCCCATAGAGTGCCTGGAGGGAAAGTGTTCCTGCCAGTTTGCGCCCACACCGCCAAGGGTCCTGGCCATGGGAAAAATGCTTAGCAACGACACCATTAGCATCAGCATCTCGATACTTGCCAGTGAGCAATTGCGAAAGGAGCAGGAGTCCCGCCTACACGACACACTGGGGACCTACAAAATGCAGTTGAAGTGAGTAATTCCTGGGATTTATTGGGATTTCCATTACTGAGAAACATTCCAGCTCCAGCTCCAAGTCAATGGTAGTGCATTAAATGCAGTTTTCCTATTTACGAACGCTTTTCCCCGGCTTTACCAACTAAAATTCATGCATTTTCGTTATATATCTGAAATATGCACATACATACATACGTACTTGTTACTTTCCTTTACAAATTTCTCATAATTCCCACACATTGGAGCAAGTTCTTCTACAAAAGGAGAATTCCCATTAAAATTCGTTTCATAATAAACTTTTCCATTTTCCCATTGAATATCTGCCATTTATGTCCTTCATGCAAAACGCTAATGTACTGAACAAGAACACAGCAAATAAGTTAATAGCTTAGAAAGGAAGATTTCAGCAAAACATTTAATGTCAACTACCACTAAACTTGCAGAATTAACGAGGAAACCAACCCCTCGCTACCCTGGGGCGGAGTATTGAAGCACCTTTTGACCCGTGCTTACAAATTAAGCGAACTGGGCTTTAAGGCCACACCAAAGGGCTTCGAGGGCAGCATGAAACTTGGTTTGAGCACCCAGCTTAAAGAGAAAGCCTCTCTGAGCCTGCAGGCCGTGATCATTGATCCTGCGGGTTGCGAGGGACCGCGCAGTGTGGCCAAGGTGCCAGGTGAGTGAAATTTTGGAATTCCCTTTACCTATAGATATTTTTAATCCTTTATAAATACAGTTCCTGCGAATCCCATTCTGCTGACCGAGGGAGATACTGTGGTAATTGGCCTTAACTCATATGTTTTTATATTTTTTTAATGGTGTCTTTTTTTTTTTTCTTTTTGTATGCAGAGCAACTCCATTATGGTCATGAGTGGCATGCTTATAGCCATCATCCTGGCCGGCCTGATTATGCTGCTGCTGCGGTGCCGCCGGGTAAGGACGAATGCCAAGCTGCAAATGCAGGAGCAGATATACATCCAGACCTTCGCCTCCTCTGCCATCGAGTAAGTTTGAATGAAAATACCTTTGAAATTATGCTTACCCTTAGGGTATTTCCTAATTGCAGGATGGAAGATAATGTGAACTATGTGGACAAGTATGTCGAGGTAAGTTTTTCACTTAATATTTATTTTAAAAAATCTAAAAATATGGTCTGTCCAAATATATGTTTTTCAATATTTGATGTGAAGGTAAGATCTTAGTTAGTTTTAATAACAAATTATTCGCAATAATTCATTGGAAATTATTTGATTTTTTGTCCATTAAAAATATCTAATATATCCGCATCATACAGACTTTGAATATATAATTTTATATTTCTATTTTGTGGGCCAATTAAAGTTTTTTTCAATTTTATTCCCATTCGGAAAACTAAATTCATTGTTTTGTAAGCAAAAGAGTTAAATACCAGACCGTTACCTAACTTACCCTTCACCAAAATCCTCCTGCAGAAGTCACATGTCCTGGGACTGGCAGACATATTTGAGGTGCCCCACTCCGCCATCCAAATAGGGCGCCTTCTGGGCGAAGGGGCTTTTGGCCGTGTCCACGAGGCCACCGCCATTAATTTGCGCCGGATGAGGGGCACTACCATTGTGGCCGTGAAGCAGCTGAAGCGTGAGTCCTCAAGACATGTCATTGGTAAGAATAGTTAGTGATAGTGTGTGTTTGTATTTATAGCCAATCCTAAGGCTGATGAGGTGGCTGAATTCCTGTCCGAGATCGAGATGCTCAAGGGTGTGGGCACGCACCACAATGTGGTGTGCTTCCTGGGTTGCTGCACCATCAAGCCACCTTACCTGATGATCATGGAATATGTGGGTCAGGGAAACTTGGTAAATCTAATATAATTATTCGTTGGAATACATGTTATATATTTCTGTATATATCAAATATAACAGCAAACTTATCTGCGCTCGTTGCGCAAGGAGGCCGGCAAGTTAAAGCTGCGAAATGCCAACTACACCAGCTGCAGGCCCATCTCGGCCAATAGCACGTCCTCTCCCAAAGTGTCCAGCGTGAACTATATCGAATTAAAGGCCTCCAACCAGACCCTTGATGTGCAATCCACAGGAGACTCTAATTCAATTTCCACAAATGGCTGTGGTTCGTCGCAGCCATCGCGTCGAGAGTTTGCCGAAAGTGTGTACCCGGTTAAGTTAATTAAATGCGTGGTTTTAAATTCGATCTTCATTAATTTCAGCCACCTACAGCATTGTTGAGGAGGAGGTGTCATTTGAGCACGTCCTGGACAACAAAGAGTTGCATAATTTCGCTTTGCAAATAGCCAATGGAATGCGATTCCTGGAAGAGCAGGAAATAACACATCGGTAAGGAAATTAAAGGGACATTCAAAGTGCCCTGATAATGGGTTTTAAAATGTATCATTTTTCTTTGCAGTGACCTCGCTGCTCGAAACGTACTGATTGACAGCGATAAGACCTTGAAAATATCCGATTTTGGGTTGTCGAGGCATGGAATATATACGAATACGAAGACGCGAAAGGTGAGTGGAGTTAACTTATATTTAATATGAAAATTTTCAAAGCTCTTTCTATGCATTTAAGTAATTCCTTCTGAATTTTTCTTAATTTGTTTATCAGCTTCCTCTTCGCTGGCTGTCCATCGAGGCCATTCGCGACAATGTCTACTCGAGCAAAAGCGACGTCTGGGCGTACGGTGTGGTCCTATGGGAGATTGGCACCCTGGGCGCCTCGCCGTATCCCACGATTAGCAATGGCGAGCTAATACCTTTCCTGCTGGCGGGGAACCGGCTGGAGAGGCCAGAGATCTGTACGCCGCAGGTGTACACCATCATGCTGCAGTGCTGGCTAGAGGACCCCGAGGAGCGGCCCACCTTCGATGCCCTGTACAAGGTGCTTCGTCCAAAGACAGCATACGTTGATATCAATAGTCTCAGTGATGACTATGTCTTTCCCCCGATCAACGAGAATAGGGAATAATTTCACTAACTCAGACCTCTCTAAGCGATAATTCATAAGAGTTTAGCTATATATTTTGTTCTAAGTGTAGCTTTCATATACTAGTTCTTGACGTACAAATATCTCCGTCTGTGCAGAAAGTGTTTAATAATAAGTGTACATTTTAGCATCGATTTTAGCCTTAGATTTTTCTCTGATTAATGTATAGATGGTAGAATTTAAGGGAATTAAAAACAAAACCTTGCAGGCCGAACCTTCTTCACCTGTTGTATACGAACGTAATTTCAATGTGCTGTGAGTTTCAAGTTTAAAATCAAATTTTATTGTTAACGTTTTATGCGTACTTTTTGAAAAGTATTAATAAAATTAGAGGATAGTTATGGCATGCTGTTTCAATGTCGGACGCCGTAAATTTCATTCCAGGCCACAAACTGTTGGCAGTCCTCCGCCGAGACACTTTTCGATATGACCCGCAGTGCCTTGTTGAAGTCCTCCATTGTAACGGCGGGCAGCTACAACGGATAATGGTTATAAATATAAAATAAGTGCAGATACATATATTTTCAGCCCAGTTATTACCTGATCTGGTTCAATGACTTCCATCTGCTCGGCACTTAGCGATCGAAGAGGCGCCATCGAGGCATAGCGACAAAGAGTGTCCACATCCGCACCGGAATAGCCTTCAGTGAGCTCTGCCAGCTGCTCAACCTCGGACTGGTCAAGGTTGTGCTTCACCTGCCTGATAATCTTCTTGATGATTTGCTGTCGTGCATCCTTTGTGGGCAGGGGAACGTACAAACGACGTACAAATCGGCGGCGCACCGCCTCATCCAGTTCCTGTGGTCGGTTTGTGGCTCCAATTACCAAAATGCGAGCCTCCTCATTGCTGGCAGCACCATCCAGATGAATGAGGAACTCGTTTTTCAGGCGCAGCGTGCTTTCGTTCTCATTACCGGACCGCTTTGACAGCAGGGAATCCACCTCGTCAATGAAGATTATCTGGAATGAATCGACAGGTGGTAAAATGTCCTTTTTCCTAGTAAAAACCGCCAACTGACCGCTGGTTGATGGGCAGCTGCCACTGCGAACAATGTTTTCACCAGCTTCTCGGCCTCGCCCACCCACTTGGAGGTCAGGCTAGACGGATTAATGCTGAAGAACTTGGCCTTTGCCTGGGAGGCAATGCTCTTGGCGATTAGGGTTTTCCCCGTTCCCGGTGGACCAAATAGGAGCACCCCACGTGGTGGACAGCGCACGCCCGTAAAAAGGTCCGGACGTCGCAGTGGCATTATAATGGCTTCGAGGAATGTGGATTTCGCAGATTCCAGACCAGCAATATCGTCCCACCCTGAAAACGCAAAGTGCATATACCACATGTAGTCCACTATAAAATTCACAAATGCATTGATTTACTTGCCGACATTCTTGAAATTATGCATACTCTCTCCAAGAATTTGCTCAACCATCTTGGGGTCCAGATGGGCCAGGGACGGAGGAATGTTGGCGCTGCTTCTGTGATGTAAGTAACAATTGAATATGCAATGCATTGTTTGTTCTTGAGGAGAAGGCCACTACTCACGCATTGGTGGTTGTTTGAGTCTGCCCAACAGGCGAAACAAAGTTGGAGCTGACGGAACGCTTGCCACCCAGCGTCTTCTTCCTAAAGTTCATCATTTCGGAGGGTGCAGCATCTGCAGATGCGGTTCTGCGAATTGCGCCCTGCTCCTTATTTTTCTGCCAAAATAACTCTTAACCTTGACTTTAAATCTAAGGTAAGTGAGCTTTGTGATTTACCTTTAACTCGTTTAGGATATACTGTTCCCGTGCTGTGCGAAAACCAAGGCAACTAGGCTCCGCGCTCGTCTGCTCATCCTGTGCCCTGCATTCACCAGCAGTAATCCTCTCAGCTTCCGTGGGCGCTGCTTTTTCATGGAACGAGAAGCCCTGCAGGTCTTTTGTATTTAGTTCGGTCTGTCCACAGCTTTTGTAGAAACCCCTGCAAATCGGCTCAAATGCACTTGGTTTTGGCAGGTTTAGTTCCGGATACCGACTTCCGGAAGTCGACCTTCGACTGTTTCCTATTATTTGCTGACAACGCTTTAGACGCTCTAATGTTAAGTGCTCGGTGCTCTCATCCTGGTGCATTTTATCCTGGTGTTCCCTCAACACTTCGTATCTGGTGGCTTCACTGAAGTCCCTGCTTTTTGAATAAATATAAACAAAAGGTTTGTTTTCCAAGTAAAAAACACACGAACCTGGTTTGTTGGGCGAGGAGCAGCTTCTGTTTGCGCCAAGCGCACTGTCTGCGGGCGTTTGGGACATCCTTCGACTGCCAAACCGCTTCGTTGGCGGCGTATTGCCTGCTCCACAGCTCGCGGGACATGTGTGCTAAAAATAACTTCGTAATAAACGCAAATAACGTACAATTGAATTCCTGGTACAAACGTTCCCGGCAAAGAACAGCAGCAGCTGATTTTGTTATCGTTGGGTTTCATGGCAGTCAGCATTTCAATTAGTAAGATCTCGATTAATGAGCTATCGATTGTTTTCAGTTGGCGGGTTTTTAAGATTTAATTGTGTGCACTCTGCGTGATTAATTTGTTTATTTGTTTTAATTCCAGAACATGACTCTTTTGGTTCGTTATGTAACAACACATTGTTGCCTGTTGTCTGCTCTTTTTTAAATGCAATCATTAATTAATTGCAAAAAATATGTACATGCATTGTGTAAAGTTCTCTTACATTGTTTGTTTTTGCGTTAACAGGAACTTTAAGGGTTTCGCCCTTCACTGTACATTTTTATGCTCAATTAATTCTCAATTGCGTTTAATTGCCTCTCTCAGCTTTCAATTAAAATCGTTCGCAAGCTTTTTCAGCGGTCGTGAGACACCCTAGTACGCTGTCCGCCGGAGATTTCGCCATCAACACCAGTAGCAGCCAAGGCAGACGTCCCCGGATCTTATCACCGAATCGCGGTCTGTATGCTCACGTTGGGCAAATATATACCTGCATATTGCTCATCTAAGCTGCCAACTATACGAAAACACGTCCGGACACAGTCTCCGGTCGTCGTGAATGGCCCGTGGAGTTCAACTGGTGGCGCATAGGACCGGTCGCTTATCTCCGAGGCGAGCGCCAGATAGCGGCGCCCCTTCCACGGCCATAAATAGCCCACAGCAGCCATTAACGGATTCTCAGTTTAGCGGTCAGTGCAGTGGGAGTTGCAGGTGATTCCACTCAACCGAGGAGCTACCATCGAGGAGCCGTCAGCACCATTCATTGTGTAAATACTGGAATTAAGGATAAGCTCAGATCATGTGCCTGCCAAAGCGAGTGGGTGGCCCGGCCATCCAGAGCATTGCCACAGCTATAGGTGAGTATGGAATGAATCTAAATGATTATTATTACAATATTTTTGTTATGTTGCATCTTAGTGCTATTCATATATAAGATAATAATATAGATTTAAATATTTATGATTTATTCATTGTCCTATATGTTATTTATAAGCAGAAGATAGATTTAAATACTACATTTACAATATAAATATATAAGATAAGGTATCTTTTAGGTTATACATAAGTTAGATTTTAATTTTTATGATGATCTATAACATAAACAAATTGAAATATAAATATCTGATATGAGTAGGTATTCTCTAGGTTCTGTATAAGCTGAAGATACATTTAAATATTTATGATTATCCATAATATAAAAAATGTAAAATATCTTCTAGGTAATATATTATATAAGCTGAAGGTAGATTTAAATGTTAACGTTCTGTCTCCTTGTCTCTCTTGTCTCCCTCATATCCAACCTTTGCAGGCAATATTCTCTGCTTCAACTTTGGCCTGATGTTTGGCATAACTCCCGCCCACATGACACTCTATGAGTCTGAATCGAAAACACCTTTAAATGTGGCCACGGATCCGGCGGGTACAGCATGGCTAACGGGTTACCTCTTCCTAAGCGCCGCCATTGGAGCTCTGTGTTCGGGAGTTCTGGCCCTGCGAATCGGCCCTAAATCCGTGCTGCTCTGCGCTGGTCTCCTCCAAATCGTAAGCCAACAAAACAAATTCATTTGCAGTTTTTGTTCAAAAATTTTCTAGTAATTATTCAGCTGTTATGAATTTCTGTGGCTTATCCAAACAATAACAGATTGAACAAGATAGAAAGCTAACTTTGGCCAGCCAAAGTTTGTATACCCTTGCAGGTAACAATTAAAATATATCATAGCTAAGCCAAAAATGCATTAATTTCAATTCGGAAAGCAGTTTTGTGTTAGTTTTTATTAATTAAAAAAAACTGCATACCAAATGTAAAATTTTACGAAATCAAAATGTTTGGCCATTTTTGCTAATTTTAATGATGTAACCCCTTATCAAATTTCTCAAAAATGGCCAAAAATCGATTTCTTCCGGACATGTCTAGAAAGATTCGCATGTTAATGCTGATCAAGAATATATATGGTTTATGGGGTCGGAAATGATTCCTTGACTGTGAAAAATATTATTTTGTCTTATAAAATCTGATTTTTTTATATTAAGAAACTTCTTGATTTTTTTTATAAATTAAAAATATCATAACTCGGCCAAAAGAGCATTAATTTTAAATCGGAAAACTGTTCTGTGCACGATTTTCTACAGTTAATAAACCTGCTTACTTCCTTTAAAAATTTTGAAAATTCAAATTTTTATCGAAATCAAAAATTTTAATGATGTAACCCCTTATAAAATTTTGCAAAAATGGCCAAAAAATCGATTTCTTCCAGACATATCTAGAAAGATTCCCCTGTTGATGCTGATCAAGAATATATATACTTTATAGGGTCGGAAACGTCTCCTTCACTGCGTTACAAACTTCTGACTGAAATTATAATACCCTGCAAGGGTAAAAAAAAACTGATTTAATAACTGATTTATTTAGCGTGTTTTTAGAAATCTTTGATGAATTTATAATGATTTATTTATTGCCTCTATGATTTATTATAATTGAAGAATTCAATTCAAAGAGCTAAATGAACCATGGAAATACAATTAATTTAAATAAGTTACTTTAAAATTCCTTTAAATACTTATTTAATCTCTATTTGCAGACAGGCTGGTTCTGCATCCACTTTGGCTACGACATCATTCATATCTACGCCTCCCGTCTGTTTGCGGGCGTGGCTGCGGGCGCCTCCTTTGTCGTCCTGCCCATTTTTATCAACGAAATTGCGGAAACACGCGAAAAGGCCGCCCGACTGACATTTACCATCGAACTGTGGCGCACTCTGGGCATTCTGGCGGGCTTTGTTCTTGGCTTTTATGTGCCCTACGACCTGGTCAACATTGTGGGCTGTGCGGCGTCCTTTGTCTTCACAATGACCTTCCCCTTTGTCCAGGAGAGTCCGCATTACTATCTGCGAAAGAACAATATTCCGTGTTTGGAGAAGTCCCTGCGCTGGTATCGCGGTATCAGGGACATTGACGATCGCGAGAAACCGGAGTACCTCAGCGAACTGGCCGAATTCAAGGCCGAGCTTCACAGCAAGGATAAGAATGTCGGCTCCACGCCCATGTCGCAGAGCTATATAGTGAGGCTGACGTTTGTCAGCTTCCTGCTGACAGTCTGCGCCAAGTTGAGCGGTGTCTTTGTTGAGTTAAATTACGCCTCGGATTTCTTGGGACGCACTGGATACTCCACGGAAACCAATTATGTCGTTTTGGCCAGCGCCCAATGCTTTGGAGCCCTGTTCGCCCGCATCCTCGGTCCCCATTTACCGCGCAAGGTGAGTGCTTTACCAAATATTACTGAAGCTTTTTTGAATTACCTAAAAGTAAATTAGGAGGTCGGTAATACTTATCTCAGATAAGTATTTCTCAGTGCTGATACTTAATTGCTTTGCTAATCACTTGCAGCTCCTCCTGTGCCTCTCCTCGCTGCTCTCTGCCGGAGCTGTTGTAATGCTGGCATTTTTCAAAACTTATGGCAGCTCGTGGCTTCTGGGAAGTTGGACGGATCGATACCTTCCCATTATCCTTTTGGCTTGCCAGCTCGCCTTCGTTAGCTTTGGCCTTTATCCATTGGCCGCTGTGGTTAGCAGCGAAGTGTTGCCAACTAAGGTAAGTTGAGTCAAGAAAGGCATCTTCAAAGTTTATTCTGGGAATCCCTCATTATTTTACCTCTTCAGCTGCATGACTTACTGTATTCCCTGGCATCTGCCTTCTCCTGGCTGCTGCTCTTTGGCATGATAGAGGTAAGTGCTTAGTACTTATTCTCTAGGAAATAATACTATTCAAGTGCGGCATGCTTTCAGGCTTTCAACGCTGTAAAAGCCACTATCGCCCCCGGATTGGTACTGTACCTGTGGGTCTTTGCTGGCGCCTCTATATTCGTGGGCTTGATTTCGCTGCCCCTTCTGCCGGAAACGCGGAACCGACGCCCTTCGGCGGTGCAACGGGAACTGGGCTACGTGGACGATGGCGGAGTGGCCAAAGGTTCGGCGGTGACCAACGGCCACATTGCCACGCACATCTGAAATGCTCGAGTACTTACAACTTGCAACGACTCCTAGTTTTACGCTTGTAATTAGTTAATTAGTTTTACCTCGTCCTAAGGCACTCATTAGATATGCAATAAAAAAACCTCATTTAATTGCAAAATTCTTGGGTTTTATTTAAGCATTTAATGTAATTTTATTTTTTAAACTAATTTTAGTATTAGTTTAATACAAAGTCTTCTCTCAAAAGTATGCCTTAAAATATATATACACTTCGCGGTATAGAACAGCACAGGATTACTCATCCGGCTGGCAACGATGAGATCCGGAAACCCATAAAGAAATATGTCGCGCACGTCACTTAAGCTTATATGACTTAAGTTTATCTTTTAGCCTGAATCTTGGCTGTTTGGCAGCGGGTCATAGAAGTCTGTCCTCATATCTAATCTTGCTTACGCTCTGCAAACAATATTACCCCCATCATGAATAATTTTTGATAAAAGTAACAACGGTAGGTCTACTATGCAAAAGTCTAGAAAGATATTATTATGAAATTGCTCAAGTACAATTATCTGTGAAGTACGTTTATTTCATAATTTAAACTAACACAAAAAATAAACAACAAATAATTGAAATTGATTGTCTAAGCAACATGAAATATGTTTTGCATTTTATTTATTACATTAACTTTAAATCTTTTGTAATCTCGTACTCGTGCCGTACTTTTTCCGCTTATTTTTTATATAAATAATCAGATAACATTTTGTTTGAACATTAATGGTTTAACTTTCAAAACAACTCTATCATAATAAAAGAAAATGAGTTGGCAGAAATTTTAAAGGAATTATATATGTAAGTATCTCTTAAAGATAAGGTAAATTAAATAAAAAATAATAGTTAGTCAATATAATAATAATTTTATCAGTTGGATCTTTTGAAAACGATATTGGAGGACTCACCCACTATTTTATTTTTTCTTTATATTTATATTTACATATTGTTAATGAAATTAATTGTTATATATTATTTGATTTGATTTTATTTATTCTAAAAGAATATTTATGTATGAATATTTTATATTAATATTTTACAATTAACTTGAAGTATTTCATTGATAAACACAAGTATTAATATTAATCTACAATATTAAAGATAATTATTAATTACCACTTATCTGTGGCAAGGTCATTTTCATTTTCTCGGTGCAATAACCGACAATGAGCTAAGATTATTAATGAACCTGAGCTCCACGTCAGTCGGAGATATTCCAGATCACTCATCCGCCTGCTACGCCACGCATCACTTTCGCATGGCAAAGAATCCCCTTTTAATTCGTTCACGGCGCCACCTAATCCTGATTTACGCTTTTAGGGGATGAGTTGGCCCGGATATATGGTCAAAATGCCCGAGTTTTGTGTGAGGCAGGTATCTTGACGTACAAATATTTGCTCATCTAAAGCTAAATTTACGATTGCCATTATTTAAACGCCGCTCTCTCTCTGTTCTGAGAGTTCCTGAAGCTGTCGGAGAGTAACCACCTCTCCCTCTGCGACCTCTGCTGTATCGAACTCATATCAAATCAGGAAAAAAACAAACAAAAACTATATAAAATATAAATAATTGTAATCGGCCTGGGTATGGCAACAACAAATTTGCTTTAACACCCTGGGGCAATAATTAACTATTCTCCGACGCCACTGTGACAGTGGATTTGCTTTGCTCTCGTTTTTCCAGAGCATAATGAGGCAGTGATAACGGTCTACAATCTACGCGGTTCTGCTCCGCTCAGTTCGTGTAAGCTCGTTTACGATCTAATGCAATATATATAAATGTTATCATCCAGCCACTGGTCTCGCTTAGTTAAACGCGAACGCTAACGGACCCGCGACGACCACGAATCCGGTTAACAAAGTTAATTACTCGGAGGACTCGCCAGGCTTTGATAAAAGTTTATAACGAAAAAAGTTAAAAAAGCTCACGCAAAATGAGTTCCAACGGCAGTGCAAAATACCAGTACCTGGCTGCCATAAGTGGTTAGTGGTAAAAGGGATGAAACCACCAATATAAATTGAACTTTTCAAAAATAAAACCATTTTTCTACCATATTAAAAATGGTTTTAAATTTACAACTGAAATTAGTTAGTTTAAATGAACCTAATGTTGGATTATTTGTGCTTAAATATTAAAATACAAACCACGCAGGAATTTTTAAAATCAAATTCAACCACTAAAATTTGACGAAAATTCAATTAAATAATGTTTACTGTAAAGAAAAACCAATTATCCAATATAAGCAAATAATTAAAATCCCACTATCAAATCAATTAAATAAATACATATATATTTTGTGAATTATCCTCTCAGTAAATATTATTACCATATCGTATGGCGCATTTTGCGGTTGGCCCTCGGCCAGTTTTCTGGAACTGACATCCGAGAAAAGTCCACTGGAAACGGGACCTTTGACAAAACAGGATCAGGGCTGGGTGGCGGCGACTATTTGCCTGGGAGGCCTATTCGGAACTATTTTTTTCACCTGGCTGGCGGATAAAATTGGCCGGAAATGGAGCATTCTGTGGATGGCCCTACCGAACTTGGTAATGCATTATTCTATTTACATAATAAAAGGACATTTTTGTAACGAATTTTGTTATTCTATTAGCTTGGGTGGATCATCATACCCTATGCCCGCAACCCGACGCATTTAATTATAGCCAGATTTATAGGAGGAGCTGCTGGCGGTGGAATATTTACAGTGGTTCCTATTTATATAGCCGAGTTGGCTGCAGACAGGTGGGAAATTGTGCTTTTTAGGAAATGGAAAGGTAATTAAATTATAATTATAATTATTTCCCAGTGTTCGTGGCGTTTTGGGTACCTTTCTGGTGCTCACTTGCAACGTTGGAGTGCTTCTGGCCTTTGTTCTGGGCTACTATTTTGACTATGCCACTGTGTCCTGGATTGTCTCCACCTTGTCCTTTGTGTTCGTGGGCTGCTTCTGGTTTATGCCAGAGACCCCGCAGTACCTGGCCAAGCTGAAGAAGGTGGAGGCAGCGGAGCATTCGCTGCGCTACTATCGCAACATACGATCCAATCCCGCCAAGGAGCTCAGCGAGGAACTGCAACTGGAACTGCAGAAGCTGCAGACCACAGAAAAAGTAACGGATGGAGACGATAATGATGATGATGAGAACACCAAGGGTGTGACCTGGGCAGATTTTGGTAAGAATAAACAATTAATAGTTATAGGAAATCGACGAAGGGAGTAAGTCATATATATAAAATGGAAATTTGCTTCTGCTACCACACTGCGTATACGTAATTTAATATAATAATTACTTCTTTCCACTAGCTGAGCCCAAGACCCGGAAGGCTTTCTTCATCGGCCTCGTTCTGATAATGTTCAACCAGCTGTGCGGATGCTTCGCCATGCTGAACTACACGGCAGTCATCTTCGAGCAGGCTGGTGCCAGTATGCCCCCAACAATGGCAGCCATTATTGTGGGATTAATCCAGCTGCTCGGAAGCTATGCATCCACGCTCCTGGTGGAGCGACTCGGCCGTAAAATACTGCTCCTGTTGTCGGCCCTGGGCATTGCCTTTGGCCAGAGTGCCATGGGCACCTACAGCTACCTAAAGTTGCTGGATTACCCAGTGGCGTCATTCAGCTGGGTGCCCATTGCTGGTTTCTCTTTCATGATTTTCCTGGCTGCCTGTGGACTGCTCACCCTGCCCTTCCTGGTATTATCGGAGATATTGCCGCCTAAGATTAGGAGTACGGCTAGCATGATGCTAATGTCTGTGCTCTGGTTAATTTCCACATGCACCATTAAGGTGGGTTCAGATGATAATTTTTGTATATTTATATTTACATATTTACATTTATTTATTCACAGATGATGCCCATTTTCACTTCCTCTTTGGGAATGCATGGAACCGTCTATATGTTTGCCAGTTTGTCCTTTGCAGCTGCTCTTTTCATTGCCATCTTTGTTCCTGAAACCAAAGGAAAGACAGTTGAGGCCATTTTGGCCAGCCTCTAGTATTAAAATATTTATTTAAAGTGACTTGTTATTGTTGTCAATAAAATCTCAAAAGAAATCAATGTTGTCATAGCAAAAGGTAATAATATATATAAAGCCATAGATGTCTTGATTGTTGTTGAGAAAAGTCTCCACAACAATGAATTGTGCCTGTGCAAACACCTTGATCTTCCCTAGTTATCGCCTTGGGACAGATCTTTTGACAATGAAAACTCTTTGATAAGATAAGATCTCTGGGAGTAGGTTCATTTATTAGACAAAGGCTGCTCACTGAATGTTTTAAGTAAATGAAATGGGTATTATGTAATTTTAATTTAATTATAATTTGATTTAGAAATAATTTCCCGAAATGAGCTCTTTTTACTGTCACATTTTTCTATACGAGCTTTGACTGTATAATGAAATGTAGTTCTAGAATTTAGGAGATATTTTTAAAAATATCACAAATTTTTAAAAAAGCTCCCTAGCTAAGAATCAGGTTGATGCTCAGACTAACTAATACCGGCAAGCGTAGTCTACTTCTGGGAAATTTAACACCCTCTCTTAGTTCGTGGCGAACTCAACAATCTTAAGAACCCCATATCTTCTTATCTTGTATACGCCCCTTTTCTGATGCCTGACTTTTTAGTTAATTTGCGAAATGTCTGTCGCCAACAGGAATAGAAAGATCACCTAGACAGTCTTATCATTTTGTTTAAGTTTATGTTTGGCGACTATGGAATTATCTTTACGATGCAAACATACAATAAATTGACAAATCTTAAGAGCCACCAGATAGTTCAGGTGTAAAGTTTACAGTTTCCTACAAAGTCTTACTATATTTTAGGAAAATGCAGGATTCAGTGATCAAATACCCTAGAAACTCAAAGCTACCTTAAAGGGAGGGCTAATATTTTAAAAAATTCTCAACTGCATCCCAACTATCATCAAATACAAATTCAACATAGTGAATAACTATAATCAATGCTCAAGTCCATAACTCGCCGCTGGACTTTTAAAATCAATGAAAATCAATATGAAAGCCTGGCTGCATTCAATGCTGGGAAGGTAAGCTTGTTATTGCCTTCTTCTTGGTAAGAGTTCTAAGAATGCTTTGCTTATTGGCAGTGCCTTAAGCAGTAAGTTGTCCAATTACAAATTTCTAGACAACTTAAAATAAATATTTAAACAGAAAAACAGAGCTAAAATGCCAAGAACTCAAAATCTAGACAAATAAGTTATAAATAAATAACTTATATCAGTTCAATAAATAATATTTATTAAATATAAAAACCAATTTAAGTAATTTTACTATTCAGCCTGTTTAGGTCTATAGCATACTTTAAAGCAACGCACAATAGTATGTGGCCTCTGTTAGCCATATTTAAACATTCCCTACTTTAACTCTATTAGAGCCAACTTAATGTTCTTAACCGCTTTCAGACTTTTTACTGAAATATTTTCACTTTCGGCCTAATCCAACAATATCCCTGTTGAGTCTGGACCATCACCGTAAAAATGCTAACCCGCGAGGAAAACAGACGAGCCCCTGTTTTGGCCCTCACGTGGGGAGGGTAAACATTGCAAATATGTGTTTGGATTGTGAAATATCTTTTGCGCCAAAACAAGGAAATAAAAGACTAGACTAACCTCGTATACAATACACTTCAGCTCCTCTTGGCTATCTTTACAATGTAATTTGTTACGTTTCACACACTTTTGTGTGCTCTCAAAATCCCAAGAGACAATGATATAGAAAGCAGGCCAATTATCTCTGATATTGCGGATATAAAGATTACGGATGGATATATTTCGAGAGCTTTTTGCTTCACTTGGTTCGCCTGGATTTTATACAAACGCGCTTTCTCATTTGTGGCAAAGTATTCGAGGCTAGCTGACACTGTCCCCCTGTGGCAATGACCAAGTTATTTCAGAACTCCCTGCTGCAGCAAAAAACACGCTATCAGCTTTTGGCCACGGTTATTGGTAAGAAGATATTAACTTTATATTAATTTTACCATAAAAGGCATTCATTTTTGCAGTAAACATCATAACCTTTGGCCATGGCATTGGTGTGGGATGGCTCTCTCCCACGCTGACCAAAATTCAAAGACCCGACTCACCGCTGGAATTCACAGTTAATCTCGCTGAAATATCCTGGCTGGGATCGATGTTGGGCTTGGGAAGCTTGTGCGGCAACCTGACCATCGCGTTGTTAATTGAGCGAGCTGGCAGGAAGTTCTGTCTGTATCTGATAGCAGTACCGTATGCGGTTGGTAATCCCTCTTTAATGGCTTAAAGTCCATAAAGAATTTATACCTATTTTCTCTGGTAGTGCCTCTGGGTGTTGATTTACTGCGCATCGAACGTTTATTTCCTGTATGCAGCCCGATTTTTATGCGGATTTACCGGAGGAGCGGGATATGTGGTCGTGCCAATTTTTATCAGCGAAGTTGCCGACAGCGGGTGAGATTTTTCTGAGTGAAAAATGTGGAAAAATATTTATTTCCGATTTCCATAGCATTCGAGGCGCTCTCACTTCCATGGTGATGTTATCCGTCGATTTGGGAATACTGGCTGGCTATATACTCAGCACCTATCTGGCCTATCACATAGTGCCCTTCTTGGGCATTATCTTTCCCGTGTCCTATTTTATTGCCAATCTTCTGCTGCCGGAAACAGCGCCGTATCTGTTAAAGAGAAGCCAACTAAATGCAGCTGAGAATTCGTATAGATATTACAGAAATCAGCGGGATGCGAGGTCCGAACAATCATCTAAGCAAGATTTCGAGGAGCTTCGTACCGCAGTCCTGGCTCAGCAGATGAAGAACTCTTCACCACTGAGTTACAAGGATCTAAGTAAGTTGAATTCTTACACAAATGAGTTCTTAAGGATTAAAATACAATTAAAAGAAAACAAAATATTTAAAAAACCTAATTAATCTAATTATTTTTCAGTTACCAAACCCGCCCTGAAAGGCTTTGCAGCCTCGTGTGTCCTCAACTTGGGATACCAGTTCAGTGGGGTTTTCAGCTTCATCAACTACATGTCGGATATATTCAAGGCATCAGGTTCCATAGTTGATGTCAACACTGCCACAATCATCATTGGAATAGTGCAAATCGTGGGAGTTTATACCTCGACCATATTTGTGGACATCGTGGGTCGACGTCTGCTGATGTTGCTCTCAACTCTTGGTGTGGGAATCGGATGTATTGCCTTTGGCTGCTTCACGTACTTTGCCCAGTTTCTCAATCTCAGCGACTACAACTGGCTGCCCTTGGTGTTGATGATATTCATCTGCTATGTGGCCAACATTGGACTGATCGGAATCTTCTTCCTGGTGCTGGTGGAGCTCTTTCCAGTGAAGGTACCTAAGACTCTTTAGAACGTTGTATATTTTATGATCCTTTGCATTATTCATTTTAGATTCGTTCCCTGGCCACTTCTATTTCTGTGATATTCTTAAGTCTTCTGGTCTTTGGAACTTTGAAGTTGTTCCCGCTCATGTTGCACTACTGGGGAATTTCCCTAACCATGTGGTTTTCCGCCGGTTCAGCCCTGCTCACCTTCCTTTACTTTTGGCTGTTTTTGCAGGAAACCAAAGGGAAGTCAATGATTGAGGATTAAGAAAAATAGTCAAGGGGACTGCTGAAAAAATGTATAAAACAAAATAAATAAATAAATATGTATTTAGAAATAATGTATATTCGACATTGAATAAAATAAAAAGGTTTCCAAAAGAGAATGTCCTGAAATTGAAACCACTTCTTTTATTTACTTGAAAAGAAATAGATACAAAACATTATTAAATGAACTCGTATACTATATATGAATATTTCAAGAAAAACTACGAACGAATTGGGCGCCTCTTTGGAAATTATAAAGATAACCAAATCAAACTAAATGTTCGCTCGTTATTAAACCTTAAAAATCAGCTGTTTTTTAAGGGTACTTAAAAGCTCCCCGACAATTTAGGATTTACTTTATAACGTCTGAGGTCCAGGTTTTTAGATTGACTATCTGTATAAACTGGGGAAGCTCTCAAGAGACTGATCTAAAGATAAGTTATCACTGTTTACATGATGAAAGTAAAACAGATTCTAGCCTTCCATTTGCGAATTAATCTAATTCGGTAAACTTGTTTATTGATTTTTATTTTTCATTTTTTTTAGATGAACCCTCAAACTAGACATCTGGTGAAATTAGTCCCCCAAACTAAAGACATTTATGTCTGTAAGAAATGTAAATATTTTACGAAGCTTTCGGGCTATCTGGTTTAGATAAACAGGCCAAAATGGTACTTAAGTAGGAGCTCAGACGGCAGACAGCAATATTATTTAGTAGAGATTGCACAGTCATGACGTTCTTAGAGAATCCCAATTGTCTGCTGAGTCGTAGGAATCGCATCCAATTCCTGGTGACCCTGCTCGGTAAGGTCCTTGATTAGAAGGAAGCAATGAGTGTTGTTTAATAGGTGTTATGCTTCCTACAGTGAATATCGCTCCGTTTGCCCATGGCCTGGGCATAGGTTGGATGTCGCCGGTAATGCGGGATCTAACCACCGATCAGTCGCCCCTCAATTTTCCCGTGCTGGTGGAGGACGTGTCCTGGATAGGATCTCTGGTTGGCATAGGAGCCATGATAGGCAATATTCTGGCTGGCACTTTAATAAATCGCATCGGCCGAAAGCCGGTCATGTTCGGCCTGGCATTTCCCGCCTTGGTAAGGAAGCCTCTTAGTACGTGGAGATCTATTTCACAGAGTTTTTGTACATTTTCCAGATATTTTGGAGCCTCGTTTACTACGTCCAGAGTGTGGAGTACCTGTACGTGGGTCGTCTGATGGCCGGACTAACCAATGGTGCCTTCTACGTGGTCCTTCCGACCTTCCTGAGCGAGATCGCGGATGACAAGTGAGTGAAGTGAATAAAGTGATGTAAGCTGTGATGTAGCATTTCAATATTTCACAGCATTCGCGGTCGACTTGGTTCCATGATTCTCCTGACGGTGAACACGGGAGTCCTCACAGGCTACATAGTCTCCTCTCACTTTGATTACTTTACGGCGCCTCCTTTCATAATTGCCGTGCCCATTTGCTATATAATCGGCAATTTCCTATTTCCGGAGACCCCAATTCATCTCATACGAAAGGGAAAATTCCAGAAGGCCAAAGAATCCTTTCAGTTCTACAAAAATATTCGCAGAGATGATATCAAGGCTGAAAGTGAATTCGAGGACCTGAAGCTAAAAGTGATAAAAGCGGAGGCTGAGCAGGCCAAGTCCTTTGATTACAGGGACTTCAGTGAGTGTGAATCAATTTTAATTGAGTTCTTTACTAATTTATTGTAAATATTTTGTTATCCTTTCAGTTACCAAGCCCGCTTTCAAGGCCTATGCCTCGGGGGCTGTGGTGCTCATCGCTAACCAGTTCAGTGCCAGCTTCTGTGTCTCTTCTTATTTGTCGACCATTTTTGCTGCCTCGCACACTACCTTAGATATGACCATGTGCACCATTGTCATAGGATCTGTCCAGATTGTGGGCACCTATGCCACCACCTTGCTGTGCGATAAATATGGACGCAGGATCCTCATGCTGGTCTCATCCTCTGGAGCTGCTATTTGCCTGGCGATCTTCGGTACTTACACATATTTTGCCAAGATATATAACCTGACTGCTGTCGGTTGGTTACCCCTGGTGATCCTGGCCTGCTACGTATTTCTCTGCAACATTGGCCTGGTTGGATGTGTCTTTGTGCTTCTGCTGGAATTCTTTCCAACAAAGGTGGGTGTCCTTATTTAGGCCAGGCTTTTCCCTTTTTTATTAAGTCTTTTGTTTCAGATTCGTTCCGTTTGTGTGTCGACATTTATAGTGATTTTAAGTGGCATGGTTTTCCTGGCCCTGAAAATCTTCCCCATCTGTGTGGCTGAATGGGGCATTTCGGTGACCATGTGGTGCTGCAGTGTTAGTACGACCCTGTGCTTTTTTTATTTCTACTTCTTTTTGGTGGAGACCAAAGGCAAATCCTTGCTGGAGAATTAACTACGATGCTTAGTCATGACATACAAAATTAAGAGAGTTTTTAAATGGTCAGATAAATTAATCTATTTCACCGAGAACACAAATGAAAGCTAGATCTAAAACCCTCAACTTTTTAAATAAACTTTTTATTTTATAAACCTTTATGTAATCTTAAGAAACATTTTCTCTGCGTGTATATTCATTGTTGTAAAAATGCCTTGGTCTTATCTGGCTAAGATAAACCGGTTTGAAATTATTTAAGGGGAAGCTCGGGCGCTAGATGAAACTCAGTTAGTGTAGAGAAAGCATCGCAGCCATGACGTTGAAATTGCGATTAGCCTCGGCCTTTGCCAATCCCAACTGTCTGCTGGGTCGCAGGAATCGTCATCAGTTTCTGGTCACCTTGCTGGGTAGGACACTTGACAGTTACTTAACTGTTGCTTGATGCTAAAGATCTAACCCAAATAGTAAACATTGCCACCTTCTCCCATGGCCTGGGCGTGGGTTGGATGTCGCCGGTGATGAGGGACCTTCAGACCGATCAATCGCCGCTCAATTTCCCCGTTCTGGTGGACGAGGTCTCCTGGATAGGATCGCTCGTGGGCATAGGCAGTGTGATGGGCAATCTGTTTGCCGGCTTCCTGCAGGATCGCATCGGAAGGAAGCTGGTCTTGTTTGCCCTTGCAGTTCCCAACACAGTGAGATATATGATGACTCTGCGTTTTCTTTGAAAGAACCTATTTCACGACTTTTATCTTGCAGATCTTTTGGTTCCTGATTTACTTCGTCCAGAGCGTTGAGTTCCTTTACATTGGCCGCCTGATGGCCGGCATGACCGGTGGCGCCTGTTACGTCGTCCTACCGACCTTCATAAGTGAGATTGCGGACACCAAGTGAGTACTCTGGGAGGAGCGTGCTGATGATAAACTACTTGGTCGTAAATCTCCCGCAGCGTACGCGGTCGTCTCGGCTCCATGATCTTACTATCGGTAAACATGGGCGTTCTCGCGGGCTATATTGTGTCCACACATGTGGATTACTTTACAGCGCCGCCGTTTATCATCGCCCTGCCCCTCTGTTACTTCATCTGCAACTTCCTGTTTCCGGAAACGCCGCACCATCTCATCCGTAAGGGAAAAATCGAGGCGGCCAAGAAGTCCTTTATGTTTTACAAGAATATCAGGAGGGATGACATCAAGGCTGAGAGCGAATTCGATGAGCTAGAGTATCTCGTGACCAAAGAGCAGAATGAGAAGACCAAGTCCTTTGACTACAAGGATTTCAGTGAGATATATTTTTGGGAATTTTGATAGCAGTTTTTTTTTGAATTGAATGTTAATTATAGTTACCAAGCCAGCGTTTAAGGCCTATGCTTCTGCCGGTGTCGTGCTCGCTTGCAATCAGTTCAGTGCCAGTTTCTGCGTCACCACCTACTTGTCGGATGTATTTGCGGCCTCTCACACTACCCTGGATGTGGGCATGTGCACCATAGTCATAGGAGTCCTCCAGATTGTGGGAAACTATGCAACCACACTGCTTTGCGACAAGTATGGCCGCAGGATCCTCATGCTGACCTCCACTGGGGGAGCGTCTATGTGCCTGGTTGCCTTCGCCTGCTTCGTTTACTACGCGCAGGAGTACGATCTCTCCTCGGTGGGTTGGCTACCCCTGCTGATCCTTTCCTTATACGTCTTCCTCTGCAACATTGGCATGGTTGGTTGCATGTTTGTCGTTCTCGTGGAGCTATTCCCCTCCAAGGTGGGTACCATTCGGACTTCTGGGTACGGCTCTTTAAAGACTTTTTTCATTGCAGATCCGAGCGGTGGGTGTGTCCACCTTTGTGGTCATCCTAAGTAGCACCGTATTCCTCACCCTGAAAATCTTCCCCATCTGCGTGGCTGCCTGGGGCATCGCGGTGACCATGTGGAGCTGTAGTGTCATTACGTTCTGCGGCTTTTTGTATTTCTTGTTCTTCTTGGAAGAGACTAAAGGCAAATCGCTACTGGAGGCTTAGTTTGTTTTGTCCAGAAAGATAATGGTTTATCAAATTTGTCGCACCTAGGCGATTAGCCTAAGCCAGCTAGTTATCTTTACGGCCCCCAGGATACATTACCCGCCAGATACTTAAGTCGAATTCTAGGTGGAATGCCCTTTCAGTGATCAGAGATACTCGGCCAATGAAAGACCGAATAAAGATCAAGGTGCTAGTAAGCTGTATATTAATTGGATTTCTTGAGTTTGTTTTGTGGGTACAAAATGCTGACAAGATTGCTTCAACGACCAAACTGTTTGCTCAATCGCAGGAACCGATATCAGCTGCTTACAACTTTATTGAGTGAGTAATCCAAGGAAGGGTTTCCAAGGACACATTGGAGTATTTTAACATTTTTTTTGCTCATTATGCAGTTAATCTCATATCCATATCCCATGGCATTGGCATCGGTTGGCTCTCTCCCACCTTGCGGAAACTGCAGTCCGACTCCCCAGTGGGCTTCGAGCTGAAGTCCGAGTTCGAAGTCTCTTGGGTTGGTTCAATGCTCGGAATAGGCTCGGTGACTGGCAACATCCTGATAGGGTCCCTGCTTGGGCGCCTGGGTAGTAAAAGGTGTCTTTTGTTCATTGCCATTCCGCATTCGGTAATTTGCCAAGATTTAACAGTGGAAATCTCTTAGTAAAGTGCTTTGTGCTTTTAGTGCCTGTGGATCCTGGTCTACTTTGCCCAGAGTGTGGAGTACTTGTACGTGGGCAGGCTTTTAGCTGGCATTTGTGGCGGCGGCATGTACATTGTTCATCCCATTTTCCTCAGTGAAATCGCAGATGCCAAGTAAGTGGATTATATATGATTAATGTCGCCTTTGTGCTTTGCTTGTAAGAGATAAGATCAAACTGCGACGTCACGGAAAACGGCAGCTGGCGACAGGCCAAACACAAAATACCGGCAGTCACTATAGCCTATGCGTCACTGAAAGGCATATTTCACAACTTAAGTATAATAAGTTTTTTATTTATCATTCTTTACAGCATCCGTGGCACCTTCTCGGCCATGGTGATGTTGTCGGTCAATGTTGGCATTCTTGTTGGCTACATAATTGGCACTCACCTGGCGTTCTACTCGATACCCTGGATTGTCCTTGCTCTGCCTATATGCTACCTTATATCCGTCTTGCTGTTCATTAAGGAATCGCCCATGCATTTGATCAGAGTAGGCAAATATTCCGAGGCGGAGAGATCCTTCCGTTACTATAAAAACATCAAGGATAGCGATAACATTCACGATCAGAATCGAGCCATGGAGGAGTTTGAGGACATGAAGGTGGCCCTGAAAAAGGGGAATGGCTTAAATGAAAACATAACACTAAAGGATTTTTGTGAGTAACGCGGAGGGAAATTCCTTTTTAAATATATTTATGTATTAGCTTAAACTCCACTTTAATTACCCTTATTTGATCTTTCAGGCACGCGTCCCGCTTTCAAGGCTTATGGTCCTGCGTTGGTTCTACTTATTGCCAATCAGTTCAGCGGACTGTTCACCATGGTCAACTACATGTCGGACATATTCGCCAAATCGGGCAGCACAATGGACCCGGATACCTGCACCATTATCATTGGGGCTGTTCAGATCCTGGGAACTTATGTCACCACCGTGTTGTGCGACATCTGTGGCCGAAAGCTGCTTATGCTGGTGTCCACAGCCGGGGTGGCAATTAGCTTGACAGCCTTTGGCTTTTTCACCCAATACGCCCAGACCCATTATGTTGGCGACTACAGCTGGTTGCCGCTGGTCCTCATGTCGATGGACATTTTCCTGGGCAACATCGGCCTGGTGGGCTGCTTCTTTGTCAGCCTCGTTGAGATATTTCCGGTCAAGGTATGCGATTTAATTGATGTAAACTAAGGTTAATTGCTCTTTAAATATCGATTTGAATTTTAGATACGTGCCAAGGCAGCCTCAATGGCAATTGTGGTGTGCAGCAGCTTCGTCTTTGTCATGCTAAACATTTTCCCAATTTGCATGAAACAATGGGGAATATCGGCAACCATGTGGTCATGTGCTGGAGTCACAGCATTCAGTTTTGTTTATTTCTTAATTTTTCTGAAGGAGACCAAGGGCAAGAGTATGTTGGATGATTGAACAAATATTGTATTTGATTGTTACTTTTCTCTATTCATTTACTCACCCTTAAACTTTAATTATCCAAAATATCCGCCTTTATATTAATAACAGTACAGTTTTTATAGTATTTCAGCTTACATTTTCATGTATGTATGTATATTTAAATAAATTTAATTACATATAATTAGATAATATTTAAACAAAATACAATTTATGCCATAAGTTTATACATTCTGCTGGGTTTTTTTTTCATATTCAATTACTGGTGTTTCTTTACAATTTTCCGGATAGGCATCCTTCACTAATGCCGTCCCATTAAAACTAATTAAAAAACTAGCATACTAAATCACAGTGTTTTTTCTCAAGCGAAAAAAATTTGCAATATTCTACAAAATTACTAGCATTGTTTCATTTTAAACATACAATTTATAATTATGTATACATGTAGACGTGTGCGGGTGATGTGGGTATTGGGCTGACAGCTTTTATATATAGTACTCGCATTATTCTTTTGGGGGACTTTAAAAGGTACATTAAAACATAATGCTTGCTTTACTCACAATCTCTTGTTTTAGCGGCGACATAGCGATTGATAACATAAACGGCTAACAATTAAAAGACATAAAACAAAACAAGAATTTACGTTTGCAAAATGCAACACAAAAACAGTTCTATCGCACTGCCCTACCGCGAACCTCGAATAACACGGCTAAATACAATAATAATAATAATAATAGTTGGCGTAGGGATAATTGTAATAATAATAATAGTAGGTAAACCTAAATGGTGTGGCTTGAAAGTAAATTGAATCACAAAATGGGCGCCATTTAGCAAGTTTGTTCAGTTGTAACGGTTTAGCATTGGTTAGCATTAACTAATTACGTATCACTGGTTCGATGTCTGCTCAGATAGATATAGCGTATTAGCTATAGAGATATCACGTCTTTTTCGGGCACCGCAGGTATCGCAATACCGCGTATCCTAGGCAGCGAAATACCAGGAAGAACATCATCAGTATCAGCGTGTTCAGCCAGAGCGGTGATGTCGAGTTTTGAGCATTGAGTATTTCCTCATATGGAATGAATTCGGTTGACTGCTGTTTGCAAATCTCATAGCTGCTGGGCGATCCACACCTGAACATAAGTAGATCCGAATTTATAGTAGAATATCCATTACAATGCATTCCCCCAGCTCACCTTATAGCCGGACCCTCCCGAAACTCCAGTATCTGCATGTTCTGGTAGGCATAGTGGATCATGGAGGTGTACTGGATCCAGCTGAGGCCCTCAGGAATGCGAGACGACAGGTAGCCGCCAAAGAGCTGGGTAGCCAGCGTGTACAGGGCACTCAGGGTGATGCTCACGTTCATGTCCATGCAGCAGGCTCCGATAAAGAAGCCCACGCTCTGCGCCACAATCGTATTGATCAGCAGGAAGATGAGCATCAGAAAGAAGAGCTTTAAGCTGGGGAACACGTACATCAGTTAGGAATTATCCCGTTATTCCAGCTCTCACAATGATCACACTCACCTAGTGCAGCCCAGCATGGGGTAGCTTATCATGAGGTAGACCGTGGGCAGGGTGATCACCAGCGGCAGTTCGGCACACATCTTGGCCAGGTAATAGGCAGACAGACGGTAGGCCCCGGAGCGGCGTTCCTTGCTCACAACCTCACGCTCCGAGGGGACTAAATAAAGAGAAAAACATATAATAAATTATAATAACAATATCCAATTAACAATATTTAATCCCTACATGAATTAAGCGCTCCGAAGAGGGCAAAGAGCATCCAGTAGGTCTGCGAGAAGAACATCCAGCCTTGGAGGTCGTGCAGGAACTCCTCGGTGCGCGGCAGCTGAAACCAAATGGCCCCAGCCATTAGGGCCAGCCCGATGGTCTGAAACCAATTAAGCTTGGAGAGCATTCGAGGCTTGGCCTCTTTAAAGTTGCGGCTGGAAAGTACGCAAAACTGGGTGTGAAAGCTGGTGGGGTACGAGAGCCACTCGTCATTGTCCCCGCCATGTTCCGCCCCACTGCCCGCACTGTAAGAGTGGCAGTCACTGGAAGCGCAGGAGCTGAAATTAGACTGCGAGTCGGCGGCACACCACACCAGGTGCTGGGCCGCCTCCTCGTCCTCCTCCACCTGGCAGCCACTGGTTGGGTTATGCAGGTTCTCGTACTGATGATGGTGGTTGTGATGGTGATTGTGATGGCGGCTGGAGTGGTGGTGTTGGTTGTAATAATTATTAATTATGTCGTTGATAAGGATGCTCTCCGGCTGCTTTATTTCCTTTCGCTTTGCATCGTTGTCATCGTGATGGCGGCTGCTAGTAATGCAGTTGCGGTTTAGGTAGTTTCCATGCGATTCCCTGGCGGCAACAAAGAGCTTCTCACGGATGTCAGGATGTGACTTTAGTTGCTCCACTGGAAAATGAGGGAAGAGTTTCTTAACTTTTATATAATACATGTTCAAAGGGCAGAAAACAATCAACTAAATTCGTTTAATACAGATTTAAAGGTGTATTTTAAAGTGGAAAAACTTTACATTCTGTGGCAGACTTTTAGGCAGCAGACTTCAATTGCATTTTCCAAGTCAAAAGTTAAATCTTTGCTTATCCAAGGCTTACTTACACACAAAGTCGGCCGGATTATAGTGCGGCTTGATGGTCACCCCGATGTCCTCAAAGTGTCTGTATATATTGTGCACATCCCCAAAGTAGGCGGTTCTTCCTTGGTGGAGCAGCAGCAGCTTATCAAACATGTGGAACATCTGTGACGAGGGCTGGTGGACACTGATCACGATCGTTTTCTGCTCCAACTGGGCGTACCGCTTGAGCACCTTCATCAGCGAAATGGCCGAGTGGCTGTCCAGACCAGAAGTGGGTTCCTGTCACATAAACTTGTGAATAGACTTCAAGAGGAATAAAATGTCACAACTACTTACATCCAAGAGCATGAGCAAAGGATTGGTGAGCAGCTCGCAGGCTATGTTAGCCCGCTTCTTCTCTCCGCCAGACAGACCCCGGTTGAGGTAGTCCCCGAACTTGGTCTGCTGACAGCAACCCAGCTCGAGAGCCTCCAGGATGTGATCCACCTTGCGCATCTTCTCCGATCGCAGCATAGACTCCGGCAGCCGCAGGAGCGCCGTGTAGACCACGGTTTCGCGTAGTGTCAATTGAGGAAAGAAGATTTCTTCCTGCAGCACATAGCCGATCCTTCGGCGCCACTTCTTGGTGAGAGGTTCGCGGTTGAGGAAAACGCTGCCGCTGTCAATGTGCCGCTGGCCACTGAGGCAGTCCAGCAGAGTGGTCTTGCCACTGCCCGAGGGTCCCATAATGGCCAAGACCTCGCAGGGACTGCATCATCAGAGGGAGGAGGAAACACATAAAGGATTTTAGTAAATTTCACACTTTTACTTGTTGTCAGTGCTGCCAACTATATGTTATAATTTAATACATATATTTTCTATTAAGTTCTCTAAAGTTAAAGAACTTATTGATTATTTCGGCTTATGCCAAGCCACTTAAATTGGCAGCACTGCCTTCTTAGATTTATTGTGCGGTGTTGTGTTTATTTACTTTAAGCTGGCTGATCTTGTTACCTGACAAATCCACTCACATCGGAAAGTATTTGCCTCTCGTTGTGCAAAACGTTCAGGTTCTGAAATGTCAGTTGCAATGTGTGCTGCTGCTGTGGGTGGTAATTTGGATGGGAGTTGCAAATGTTGCTGTTGTGATGCTGCTTCTGCCTGTCAACTGAATTCCGCTCAAAGTGGTAAGACAAGGAGGCTGGCGAGCTGCTGCAAGGAGAAAGGAGATAAGAAAATCAATAACAATATCCCAATTCAGGCAAAATAGATAAATGCCAAATGCATTCACTTAGATTAATTGAAGTAATATCCAAATAAAGTGCAACTATGACAAACCACTTAATCTCAAGCAATAAATTTGGTTGTATACAAATAAAAGCCAAGATGCATAAAATAAATGCAATTAATACGCCAATGTTTTAGCCACCTTCTTCACTTCAATGAATATATAAATATAACATTTAAATTGGCTACATTAAAAGCAAGCCAATAAACAAATATGCATATCTGAAGCATTTGAATTGAAGTCAATGCAATATTTATCTTTGATTTACAAATTTGTAAACTTAAACTATCGTTTTCCCAAAATAAACATTTAAATTAATTGTATTAACCTCCTATCATGACTGTCTCTTTATTATTATTATAAATTGCACAAACCTTTTGTTGTCATTCATGTAAATCAAAACAAAACACATTTAAAGTCAATGTACCCCAAAGGCCTGGCAAAAGTAATATCAGTGCGACAAAAGTTCCCTGATTTTCCCCCCTCTTTTTATTTCCCTGAGAATATATGGCAATACAATACAGTTACTGAGGCCTCAGTCTCAGTCTCTGTCGCTGTCGCAGTCGCAGTCGCAGTCTCACTGTCAACTGTTATCGCTGATATCACATGTGTGGCGGTCGCATTATCACTCACTTTGCACTCACACTCAGGAGGCCCGAAAAGAGAGCGAGTTGTGCGGAAGGCAGCCGAGAATTCCGGAGCCCTGGAGCTGTGCGTATTCTTGGCTGATACCCTGTACTTGTGGAGAGTGAGGAGCTTATAAGACTTTAAAAATTATTAAAAATTTAAAAAAGAATACCAACTTTATATATATCTTAGAGGCTTGATTGCTTGAAAATTACTTCCTTTTCGGAATCATTTATTTTTAAACCTAAATAAAAATGTGTGCTAATTTTTAATACGACTTCATGAGATTAATTATCTCGTAACTATTAATAATGCTTAATTAATTTCATTTTAAGAAAACTTGCTACTGAAGTTGGAAAACTCTAGACCTCTCTTACTTGCTTTCTTTTTCCCTGGAGACTACTCTCGGTCAATGCTTCGACTTTACTCCCACTACCACACACACACACACAAATATAAAGCACTCCTACACATAGGCACGGCACACAGATACGGACACGGATAGGGCACAAGCAAAGACGGACCCGGAGTCAATAGCCTCTTGCATGGGGGATTCTTCTCCGTTCTGTTTGTGTACCTATCAAATTTATTTAAATATTTTCCCTTGGCCATCATCCGAATAGACCGTAGATAAGGCCGTTATAGTTATAACATCTATTTCGGGATCTCGGGACTGGAGACTGCGGCAGAGGGAATACATCCCGGCAGAGGCAGCCCGCCCCAGTATCGTCAAATCAAATTATTCGAAGAGCAACATTTTAATTTACAAATTATACAGAAATGTAAATTTCTGTGGATCGACTCTGGTAGGCGCCGAAAGTAAATAGAGAGTCCGAGGCGGCGGCGAGTGCATTGAACCGCACTCGGTGCGTGAGTGCGAGCGGGAGAGCCGGCCACTGGCAACGGCAACGGGCAAGAGACAAGAACGCCCAGAGGGAGCGCGGCAGCGGGAGCGGCAGCGAGAGATACGGGGGCCCAAGTGGGGGTCAATGCAGTCAGTCAGCGTCAGAGGAGAGCGACAACAACAACAACAGTGGCAAACAAAGCCAGCGCACACACACAGATACTAACACGCACTCGCACAGGCTGAGATACTTTGCATGCAGTGTATCTGATGAATACATTTTACTTTACAAGCGCTTCCAGCGGTGGCCAAGCTCATTACAATAGCCAATGTCCGGGTCTGATAGCCCACAAGCCAGCATACGGACTTTTTAACACAAAGAAAAAACAGCTGAAATAACTTTTTTGTTTGAAAAAAAAAACATAAACACAAAATATGGTCTTGTATTTTTAAGCAAGCATACTGGCTACTGACCAACATGTGTGCATATATTAAATATAAACGTTAATGTATACAAAAAAGAATAAATAAATAATGTGTGAATAAATAATATTTAGTTCAGATTTCAGCATTTAAGACTGATTGCTTTATATTTTCAACCAACTTTTAAATATTAATTAATATATTAATATGCCGAATTTCATTTTGCCATCTCAGTTAGCTGCTTTGTTTTCCTATTTGGATTTACAATAAAGTCAAATACTTTCGCTCGTGAAACGCTCGATTGACGTAGATGCCAAAACAAAAACCAGAAACTTCGACATCCCGCAAAACTTTCCAAAACAAAAATGTGCAACAAATTCGAAAGACTTCTGCAGAGAAGACTGTTCTCTGCTCCCACCTCCCCACCTGGGCGGTTAAGATTCACAGTATTTAAGCTACTAAACCATATGGTTGGTTCATTTTTCGCATGACACAATTCCCAATTTAACTCAAAGTTCCAATTAAACGATGAAAGCAGAGAAACAAAATGTATTGTGGAAAACTTTCCTTTCAATTTCAAGAGCGACACTCGAGGGAAGTTTGTCCGTGTGCCAAAGATCACGTAGACCAAGTTGACACCACACTAAAGTAGGTCTGAGGGATAATTCGATTTCCTAAAGAGAACTATTTTGATTGGAAACTGTAGACCAAAGAACTTGCTAATTGCATTTCAGGCTTTTTGCTTCCATTAAGGCTGTAAGTCAAGGACATGGATTGATTGATAAGATTAAGCTCCATAGCTCAGTTCAATGGACAAACCAAATGCAGACCATGAAAAAAGCTTGAATAATTTCAAATTCTGCCTACATTTTCTTAGTATTTGCAAATAGAAACACCCCTTAATATTCGATTTAACCCCTTAATTATCTTCTTTCTCTCAAAAACTTTCAAAAACGCCATCCCTCTGCTCATTAAATCCGGGCAAACTTCCCGAAAGTTTCCGCCAAACTAACATAATTTACGTAATTAACCCAATCTGACCTCCTCCATTTTCGGGGCCAAGAAAGTCAGCCAACTTACTGACCAAGTAACCGGCTAACAATTTACCTAACCCACGGCTATGATGCCATTTCTTTGGCTCTTGATTAAGGCCACCGCCAACAAGAAGACAACAACAACAAAAAACTATATCTGAATTTGTTCGTGTTTTTATTTTGTTTCTTTCATTTATACACATATACATATAACATATATTCGTTTATTTTTTTTTCTTCTCGGCTTGGCGTCGCTTTCTTGGGGAACTCTCCTCGAGGAACTGGAACTGGCTTCTTGAATACGCGAAAAGGTTATTGACTTTTACAACAAGCAAAACAGACGCCAAAATAAAACAACAACAGCAGCAGCAACAAAATAATATAATTCACACACACGCAAAGAGTAAGAGAGAGAGAGAAAAAGGGGGGGGCTAGAGGGATAACAACACAGAAATTACGTGAAAGTTTGGCATTGCATACAGCACGATCCATAAGTGTGTGCGTATACGGGGAGCACGCAATCAAAAGAAACATTTTTGAAATTCTTATCTCGTTTTTGTTGTATTTGTCACATTTAATATGGGTGATATTGTTGGTGGCTTTTTGGCCCATTGTATTTGTGAATACATTGACCGATATTAAACAAGTTGCCAAATAAAACAGATGATCGCCGTTGCTGCTGCTGCTGCTGTTTGTTTGTATATCGTTTATCGGAAGGGCTCGAAGAGTTCGTTGACTTGGCTTTTGTTTTGCCTGCTTTTATTCTGGCCCCTGACTTGGGACTGTATGTGTGTGTGCTGCCTTCATAATTTCAATATAAATAGATGAATAGAAAACAAAGTCATTTGAAAGAATTGGGTCACCGAATTTGCGCAATTTATTTGATGTTCTGTTTTAATTTAAATTTGTAGCCGAATTTCGTAGTTTTTAGCAGTGCCTTCATTGAACTTCCCAAATTCCGGACGTTATTTATTTTTTATTTTTTTTGTCAGATTGTCGCGACATTGCTATTGTTTTTAAGATACCCTGTACTTGAAAAGTATATAGTGGGGGAAAAATTATATATTATAGAAAAACTTGTATTGCTTTATAAGCTTAATAATTCTTTCTTATTGCGAATTAGTTTAAAAAATTTTATAAACAATACTTTTATCAAAAAATATTATTAAAGAAAAATCTAACAAAACTAAAACTAAAAACTTAAACTATTTTAAATTAATAAATAACATTGAAATATAAAATTTATATTCCATAAACTCTTCTACGATTTGCAGTACTAGGTATTTTAAATTCTTCAACCTTCACTAATGCCCTCTTCCTCGATTTCTTCTTTTGTTTTTGTTGCTATGACCACGCTCAATTGACTTTTTATTTGCGTGCTTGGTTTTTCTCTTCAGTCTTAGCTGTTCCTCTGTTTCTTTCTTTGTGTGCCTGCTCCTTCCCCTTCTGCTTTATCCTCTCTTCCTACGGACTCCTCTTCTTTGACTTGTGTTTCTTTCTCTCTTTTTTTTTTTTTTTTGGCGTGTTACTGACCCAATTCTTTTGGCAGCATTTTTTTTTTTTTTTTGTGTGTGTTTCTGCTGCGGGTCTTCTTTGACGAAATTTTATTCGACTTTTTTTTTTATTTGGTCATTTCTTTTGATTTTTTATTTATTGCTGGCTTAATTTGTGGCCTTCTGCTCTGAAGGGGCAACTATTCAAATTCGTTAAACATTTGTTCCCGATTCTTATTTTGCAGTTTTGACAAATGTGCCAAGGCTTTTTGGCATAGAAGCTGATATTTTTTTTTTGTTGTATTATTATTCTTTTTCAAGCGGCGACTGGAATCGCGGCTCAAGGAAATGCAGGTCAGGCGAAAGAGAGTGGTTAACTAACTGCCGGCAGAACAACATGTCGTATACGTAATTTATGCATGCATATCATGCATATTTATATCAAGTGCTCGCGCAAAGACCAGTTTCCGAAGTTCTCTCCTTCCCGCTCTGGATGTCGTGTG